ATTGTGATTTTTGTGATTTCAATCACCGGAAGTTGATTATGAGATATTGAGGTTTAAAGTTAAGAATTTGGTTCAATTTTCACACAAAAAACATGCATACATTCACTTCATAGCAACGGCATCAACCAAACAAGCTAAAGTCTTGTTTTTTTACAGGCATACTAGACACATACCCAACTTACATTTCTGTTAAAACCATTAGATTTGGAAAAATATTAATAAAGTTATGATAATTTTTAAAAACAATAGAAAACAAAAGAATTTCAAAGTTTTTGTTATACTAGGCAAAGTTGATGGGAAAACGATTCCACGGTTTATTATGTTTCATCAGTACAGAATTTGTTCTTGTACACAAAATAGTAGCAGGTTACATCAATGTTGCAATAATAAAATGTAATAGTGCATTTTCTTAAAATTTATGCTTAATAATAGGCCTATTACAAAACCAGATGTAATAAAAATGATTTTAAAAAAATATATTAAAAATAAGATTGCAATAAAGTGAAATAACGAATTGCGTTGAACTTGAAACCCGTCAGAATCTATTTTTCAAATGATGATTACTGGAACAAATAAAGCGAGTTCAAAATGATTGATATTTTGTCATATTTAATAAAGGCTATGATATAAAGCATTAGTCTTAATCAAGACTATTTGAGAAAAAAAAAGATATCGTGTAAGTCACTCGACAACAGATAACCTATAATACATGTATTGTAAAAATATCCTGGTTCATTTAGGAATGTACAATAAAGTAACAGTTGAGACCATTTGACAGAGCTGTTGTCTTCTTGAGATAGAGATTAATAATGCAAAAATATTAATTTCAGTCAATCAGTATGATGTATCAGATATAAAATATATTCTTTCATTATCAAAGTAAAGAAAAAACAATAACAAATCCCATAACAAATGCAATCTGACTAGTGACTACACTAATCATAAACTATTATGCATTAGTGCCCAAGAATTAATGATGAACAGTTTCGAATCTCTTGAGTTATCTTGTTTCATACAAAATTCACAGCCGAAGAGATCAATAGTATGTACATAGGATAAGACATGCCAAAGATGTGGCACTTTCTTTGTGTACGGAAATACGAAGGGCCAGGTTGTTGGGGGTCAACTGGATAATGCACTTGCTGTGCAAAGTCGAATCTGTAATGAAAAACTACAGGCTTGGAGTTCGCAGTCTTCTTCCCTAGCTTCTTGATGGAGAGCTCTATCGCGACTGCCTGTAAGGCTTGACAGGCTGTCCTGTAGAAGATGCTCCTCCTGCCTCCTGAGTGCCTCTGTCTTCTGTTCTTTAGGAACATTGACCTGCAGACATGAGGGAAAAAGCAAAACGAAACAAAAATCTCCTGATTAGTCAAATTTTCGCATCTACTATTTTTCTTTACAAAGTAAATATTTTTTGTTACACTACAATAGTAGATCATTCTCAAATGGAAAACACCAGCTCACAATAAAGTAAAAGTTGGTTGACTTGGAAGAAGAAAAGAGTAAATGTATTGTAGCAAATTTCATTTCATTAAAACACTTGAAATTTGGACAGAGCTTTGCAACGTTTTCCTAAGGATCTCAATTATAATATTTATTATGCTTGGTACAGTTTAGTGGTGAAGTATTTTTTTAAAGCATACGTTAGGGTCTACTGATTAATGCTACAAAATAGGAGAAAATATAATTAGCTTAGAATAAATGTAAGTATATTTTGCATTAAACTGCAGCTTGTACATAAACATCCAGTCCTTAGACATTATTATAAAGAAATACAAGTAAATAGTGACAGATCCAATTATACCTTATGGACTCTTGTTCGGCTACAGAGAATTGTTTGATACAGCGTCTTCGATTGAAGATACGGCAGTTGCATTTATTCACGCGGTCCTTCAGCGGTTCCAGATCAAGATCTATTTGTTGGGCCAGATTTGTAGCTGCTGCCGCCTCCTCCTCGTCATCAATGACAGGACCCGGTCCCAGTATGACGCTTTCATTGTCACTTGACAAATCCATAGGCTCCTCTGCATGCATCTGCCTCATCGACCCAATCGCTTTCATCGCCGCTTTCATCGCCGCTTTCACATGGCTCTGCTGGTCATGGACCTGCCTCCTCGAACTCATCAGACTCTGTTAAGTATAATTATAAAATAGAGATTCAAAAACTAATATCAACAAGTAGTCTAGACTCCGCAGAGATTTTTGTATAGGTATGAGAAGCTTCATAAATCATAATCTAATTTAATAATAAATTTTAATTTAAATAATAGTGCACTTAAAATGTCTAATCTAGCTTTTGTTGCTCGAACATTTTGGCGAAACAAGTCTTTAATAAATAATATGGGCGTAGACCTAACTAAGTAACTTGAATACCTTTTTAATAATGATAATATTAATAAACCTACCAGAATCAGAGTCGGAGCTAGGAGACGAAGGAGTTCCTCTCTCGCCCGCGGCCGGGGGCTCGGCCCGGTCGGGTTCGCGAAGTAGTCAGCCAGGTGTTCGGTCAAGCCATGCACGGCATACCGCACGCCGATGCATCATTCAACAAAGAAGCGACGGTTTTATCCGTTAAATTCCTCTTTTTCCTCGACATTGTTCTAGCCACTCGATGAATACACGTATTTTACTTGATATATGAAACTCTAGCTCATTAAAAACAAACTTCTGAACAAGTTTTCGAAGAAAAAAGCTGGTGTTTCGATGCGAGAATTTGACCGCTGAGCAATCACAACAACAAGGCAATGACGTCATGTGCGAATATTGGCGAATCAAGTGTCTGGATTTGGATCACGTGGCTGGCAACAGGCATTTGTTTACGGCCTGCTTGACAGCTCATCGAAATGATGTCATCTTTCATGGCATTTTTCATTGGGCAATTTTATTTAGGACCGCCCAATATAACCATATTTGGAATAACCGATCCTTACTCGTTATTTTCGTACCAAATACGTCAGGGATCGACTCAAACGTGGTCAACTGAGAGGGAAAACAACAAGCGATGAATCGCGAACTTTCCCTTCTTTTGACCGCATTGTTTCAACTAATTTCACTGGACAATGGAGCACATGATTAGATACAAAATATATTTAAAAATACTTCTAGATCGTCTTTTGAGTTCATTTTTTCTCTAAATCAATTTATAAAAAATAGACTTTCTGATCATGCAAAAATCTCAGTTGATCCCTAAATTCGAAATTTCATGTTCAAACGGGCCTACAGCACAATGGGATTTGCCGAGAAGCGTCGGGTTTTGCCGTAGCGGGTCACATATTACTTACTGACTTCGTAGCACTTAAGTCGATTCGACAAATAATAGTCGTTATGTTCCCACTTAAAGACGTTTTAAAGCTCCCCCCTTTTTTAGGGAAGTTCTAAATTAGTATTATCTTTTAAATGCCGGAATTTGGAATTTAACCTTTTCATTTTTGTTGGCCTACAAATGGGACAAAGTTCCTTTAATAGGCCCTAAAGCCTCTTAAAGGATGTATTGGATAGAGGAGCAAGTGGAGGAAACTAGACCAAGAGGGAGACCCGTAATCATCTGGGAAGAGAATATCAAGAACTGGAGTGGACTAAAACTGTAAGAGTGCACCAGAATGGCAGAAGATAAAGTGAACTGGAGAGATGTTGCAATCAACCTCCGAACCGGGAGAAGGTACTTAGAAAGATAGAAATAGATTCTAACCTTAAATTATGGCGTTATAGAGGACGGAATGTATTCGAACTAATTGGGTTAAGAACTAGTCACAAGTCCGGAGCTCTATGTGAGTATAAATTAAGATTTTGTATTCATGTGATACAGGAAGAAAATAGATTGTTTTTAATGTGAAATACCAAGGAAATGGACACAACCGCATTTATGGTAAGTAATACATTGGCACCTACACTTTGTCTTTAAGATTTATTTAATCACAGTCGATAGTTTATATTAATTCTGAATGTGTGTGAACAATAAACAACATGATTATAAAATAAACGTATTTTTCTGTATTTAAAAAAATTAAAACAACCTCAATAATAAAAACAAAGACAAAGATACTTTTATCCAACTATTTTATCAGGGGAAGTAAACACAAAATGTCCCCCCCCCACTCTCTCCCTCCCTCTCTCTCTCTCTCTCTCTCTCGTTATTATTCTCCTTTTCACGGATCCCAATTTTCTCTATTCTATTTTCACCATGTTTATTAATTCGATCTTTTTTGTTTCAGTTCGCTTTGTTTATTCATTATAGTTTATACCCCATTTTCTCCCATTCTTTTCTCATTCTGTTTGTTTCTCCTCTTGCTCCCTTTCTTCGTTCTAAATCTTAAGTGTTTCTGATTATCGTGTACACGTTTATTTCTCCAATTATATCAGTATTCCTCGATTACTCTGGAGTTCCCATTTCATGCTTATTGTTTTCCCTCTCTAAGTTTTCCTCTCTCTCTCTCTTTCACTTCCTCTCTCTCTCTCTCTCTCTCTGTCTCCCACTCTGTCTTTCTCTTTCTTTCTCTCTCCCTCTCTCGCTCTCAATTTCTCCCTTTCTCTTCTTTCTATTCTGCCATTCCCCTTTATCCCTGCTATTTCTATCACACACTTAAATTATCCCCCAAATCTTACTCGACGAAATTTGTTCTGTATCTTAGGCTAAAATATTCCTTGTTTCTTAAACTTGTATAGTTATATTCATAATTTTGTATTTTATATGCTCTTAGGTTATGCTTAAGGTTCAAATATGTTAATGTTGTTTAAATATACCCCATGCAGGTACATTACCACCTCTCTCTCTCTCTCTCTCTCTCTCTCTCCCTCCCCTCTATTTCCTCTTTCTATTCTCTCTCTATTTCCCTCTTTCTGTTATTTCCAGCTCCTTCCCTCTACCTATCATTCGCAAATGGAATTGCCCAATTCTTTCCACCGATTCATCCAAATCCCACAAGTTTGCTGGCACACAAAAAGGTTCACGTCCAAATGAAAAGCATATACAAACGGAATATAATAGCACCTCCTATGCTTGGATGGGCACCATGAATTCGATACAGGTATGAATTATGACATGATACCGACTGGTATACTGCATTATAATTTTGCGTTCATTTCGCAAGACCGCTGGCATATACTGCAGTACCATTCTCCAAGGCTGGCGTGCCAACACCTTGGATCTATTTTGCTTTCAAACGTTCTTGCCAACTTTGTGACGCCACGGAATAAAATCACCACCAAAATTCTGCTCCTCGTTTAGGGGTACTTTCTACACAACTTGCTGATGGTTTATTCTTAAACTGGACTCGATTATTTGGTCCTTAAGAACGCTTTTTATGACAGTTTATATAAGGAAGTTTGGAAACAAACCACCGATTTTGGATACATTTTCGTAACGGGATAACCACGCCCTGTTTAGGGTCGTTCTAGCGTGGTGGGGGAACGGCGGCTTGTACGTCAGCTCGTTCGGATTGGCGTTGTAACTTGGGCGGCTACAAAACACCATGGCTGTTCACACTGATGGAAACTTTCGAGTCTTTTGGATGCTGGGAGTGTTAACATGCTGCTTATTCACAAATACCGTAAGTATAGTAATGGTTAAAGAAATATTAAAATGTATGACCCATGTCAGTAACATTGACATCGACGTATAACCTATGGCTACTTTATCTAAAATCTTGATGCATTTAAATCTTACCTTTGATTATAATGCATCTGTAACACAAATTTTACATGATTATCTATTGTAAAGTTGCGATTAATTGAAGGAGATTCGATTGTAGGGATATAGAAATCTTAATCGTGAATTTAATGTTCATCACGGTGGTGTTATAATCGTGTACGGAAATGTAAGACAAATAAGTCAATTACATCATATTGAAGCCTTTAATTTGTATCTGATATCACAGGGGCGGATCTAGCTTTTTGCTAAGGGGGGGGGGGTTGACCAAAATAATGACGATGCGGAGCATCGTCCACGAGCCGCGAAGCGGCGAGCCGATTTTTTTGGGGGGTGTTTATTTGAACCCGTAAGTGATGTTTTCCTGGCATCTATTAACACAATGGAGACCATAAAAAGCTGTAAAAAAAGATGCGAGACTGGATTGCCGCAACTTCTTTGCCCTGTTTGCTTCCATATTGCTTGTCACTACACTCAGACCAGACTGATAAAAAAGTGAGCAACTTGAACAAGTAATCCAGGAAATGAGCAGCCCAGCTCAGCGTGCGTTGCCAGGTTAAATCTTCACAAAATCCCCACCCAAACGACACTTAAAATATCCCCAAAGTTGCCAAATTTTGACAGAAAATCCCCAAATTCGTTTTTCATAAAACTCAATATTATTTTCATTCCCAAATATTTATTTTTCATCCCCAAAGACTTCAACAATTCCCCAATTTTTTTTTTTTTTTTAATGTGGGGATTTTGGGGATGAGAATCGGCAACGCTGGCCTAGCTTGTCACTTCGGCGGTGGCCCGTGTCCTCAAAAAAGCTGATGGGGGGGGGGGGGGGGGCAAGGGACTCTGTGACATTTGTTCGTCCAACCTCCCCCCCCTCCCCCCAAAAAGAAATAATAATAATAATAATAATAATAATAATAATAATAATAATAATAATAATAATAATAATAATAATAAATGAAATAAATACATAGAAATAGAATAAAATAAAATTACAAGTTTAAAAAAAAAGATAAGATTTTAAAAAATGGTCCCCGGATTTTTTTTTTGGGGGGGTTGCAACCCCTCCCCCCAACCCCCCCTCTAGATCCGCTTCTGTATCATACCGGATAATTTCGATTGTCTAATGTTGTATAACACAGAATGAGGGGGGTTGTTGGTGCAATGTAGTGCTAAGGAGGTCTCGTGGTATAGCGATTCATTCATTTGACTCTCAATCCAATGGTTGAGGGTTCGAATCCCAGGTGGGTACTCACGTCTTTTGGCAGGACATTAATCCATATTTGCCACTGTCCACCCGGGTGTTGAATATGTACCTGGCAGGATTAATTCCTTGAAATTAAGGCGATGGGCACTGATTACGGATGAATCCCCCCGGTCCCCAACAGAAAAAAAAACTTCTGTGCGCCCATGCCTTGAGCCATTATGCATGGCCGTACAGAGGATTTTTGTTAATGTTGGGATGAATTATTGATAATTTATTGCATTTTTTGTTTGTATTTGTGGGAACTGCTCCCTACCCTAGCCCCCGCTGCGTACAGTCATGGTTCAGTGACAAAGCAATGGCCACGTAACTGTGAGGCCCCAGGATCAAAACTGTGTCGATGTGCTATATTAATGCCCTTCTGTGGGGCATTAATCCTCATTACTGTCATTTATGACTTAAAGGCGTATAGGTCTCCTAGTTGATAAGCATATTAGCATACACATGCTTTAGCAGTCACGCAAAGCAAACACTGGCAAATTATTATTCAATAAAATCTGAGAATGTATACTATTATCTAGATCTATTAGGAATAAATCATTGTCAAAATAATTCCATAAATTGGGGTTAAAAAAATTAAATCCAACTTTATGAGCCACAGTGTACTAAGTATATTGATAATGTGATACAATCTTCATCATCGCTATCACCATCATCATGATCATCAATTTATAATGCAACATCAATTCATCCCATATATATATATATATATATATGATTCTACTCTCCTTCACAGATGTTTATAGTCTTCCAGTTATTCAGATTAAATAACAGACCACCTAAATCGTCCTCAGTGACGAATTAAATTTCTCGTTTATTTTGTATATTTGATAAGTTTTTATTAATCCAATAAAATGTTTACATTCAACATAAACATAATACAAATAAACAGACATTTATATCCACGTAACAACAATAAATCAAAGAAGAAATCAAATGAATCTATAGTATAAAGAATAAAAAACATCAACGATCGTCAAAATCCCCCTTCCCTAGAACAAAAAAGGATATCCGTCAGCGTTCTGTCATCTGCTAAAATGCTTTAATAGGATTATTCTCTAAAATTCCGGAAATTAAGCGCCATTTTTCATTGTGCCTATCTATTTTAATAAACCTTTTTACCGTATGAAAATATTTAACATAATGTACAAAATGATGAACGTTGGGCATGTTTTCTGTTTTCACCTAAAGATATAGTGCTTTCCTAACAAAAACAGGAAATTAACGGTGGAAACGTTTCTTACTTTGACAAGCTGGGTCAGCCCAAACAGGATATTTTTAGTTGACAAAATCGAGGGGAGAGAAATTTCCAAAAAAAAGCTCTGCTTAGGCGTAACCAAAACTGTTTTATAACTCTGCATGAAACAAGAAGATGTTTAAGATTTTCATCATCATTATTATAAAAGTAGCAAGCTGCATTTCAATTCTCTTAATATGAACCAACCAGACTTTAGTTGGTATTAGATTATGGATGATTTTCAACTGAAACATTGGTAATTTTGTATCTTTCGTGAGCATAAATGGCAATTTAAAAAGCTCAACAGCGGTGGAATCATGAAGTCTGTACAGATCATTGAGGCGGGCGAAAGTAGACGAAATAGATGGATTGTTAATTTGCATACACATAGAATACATTTGTCCTTTGGACACATCAACAGAAGTTATAACAATACCATATATAGTTTTAGTTGTAATGGGGCTTAAAGAAAGCATAACAGTGTCAGTGTGGAAGTTTTGTTGAAGAAAAAAATGTTTCCATGTAGAGGGAGTTTCTTGTAACAGTCTAACAAAGTAAAATATTATTCAAACGAAACAACCCTTTCTTTTGCATCTTTCCAAATCATAGGTCGCCCGTATTTATCTAAAATGTAGGCCTACGCTATTTCCACAATTCCTTTCTCCAAAATACTCGACTTGAAAAATAGTTTTACCATCAAGAAGTATAGACTTATTGTTCCAAATTATTTAGATTTTAGATTGATACATCTTTGTGGACAAAATCATTCCACACCTGTATGATTTCCTTGTACCACTCACTTATATCCATCTTCAAATATTTAATGTCGATATTTCTAAATATTATATTGCCAATTAGCCTACAATTATGAGTAACAATAGTAAACGAATGGGACATTATGAATAATTCTGAAATATACTTTGCGTTGCTGAGATTTCCACAAAAAATTCGCTATTTATTGGGCTGCTGCTTTAAGAAAAATAAATTACATAAAAGGCAATTAGATCAAATAAAACTACTCACTATTAAGAAGAAAACATTTATATTCTTTCCTGAATGCAAGAACAGTGGATATTTCTTTTAATACATTTGGCAACTCATTCCAAAGCTGTTGGCCTTTAAAACTTACTGTGGTTCTTGAAAAGTTAAAATTTATACAAAGGTACATACATTTTATTGGAATTTCTTGTTTTACACTCATTGATGTTGCTATTATATCCAAAATAGTCATGAAAGTTATTGGTTAATATTTGTTTAGAATAAGAAAACATAAACGATGCTAGTTGTAATTTATTTTATCAAACATATTCAATATGAGGTGGACTGAGCATTTTGTAGACATGTTGTAGACATTTAATTAATGATCATTCCCTGGTCAAGTTATCTTTGAATTTAAATCATTGTAGGGTAGGTCGAGGTTACTGGAAATTCAATAATTCATTGTTAAGGGATGATAGTTATGTGGAAAAATTAAAGATGTCAATCAACAAACGATTTAAACCTATTCAGTTCCATATAATAACAATTCAAGTAGAATTGAGGTAGAAGGACAAGATACACAATATGAATTTACTGTAAATGATCAGTTATTTTTTTTTATACATTGTTGACCATAATCACAGGTGAAACAATTTCATACGCAGCCAGAAAGAAAAAAAGATTGGTAAATTTAAAATATGATTAAGAGAAAGAAATTATAGATTTGGAGAAGGCATTGATATAAAAAAAAAACGGACCAAAATAGAGCTTTAGTTGTATTAAATGAAGAAAAAAAAGGTCAGATAAAATCGTTGAGAAAACATTCAGTTCCATATAATAACAATTCAAGTAGAATTGAGGTAGAAGGACAAGATACACAATATGAATTTACTGTAAATGATCAGTTATTTTTTTTTATACATTGTTGACCATAATCACAGGTGAAACAATTTCATACGCAGCCAGAAAGAAAAAAAGATTGGTAAATTTAAAATATGATTTAGAGAAAGAAATTATAGATTTGGAGAAGGCATTGATATAAAAAAAACGGACCAAAATAGAGCTTTAGTTGTATTAAATGAAGAAAAAAAAGGTCAGATAAAATCGTTGAGAAAAGAATAAAATGGAAGAAATAAAGATGAGGTCTAAAATTAAATTGATGGAATATGGCGAGAAACTATCGAAGTATTTTCTGAATTTAGAAGAAAGATATGCTGTGAATAAACGTAGTATGTGCAAATTGGTCACTACTGAAAACAAGGAGATAACATCGTAGGTTGATATTATATCAGGAATTGTATTATTCTACTCTAAATTGTATGAAAATAATCCTGTTGTTGATGTAGACTTAAATACAATATTAAACAATCCAGATATAAGTAAATTAACCACTTCAATGTCACAGAAGCTCGACGGAGAACTCTCCATTGATGAAGTTCATTAAGCACTTATAAATATGAAGAGAAAAAAAAACACCTGGTCTAGATTGATACACCGTCGAATTTTAAAAAGAAATTTGGAAAGAATTACACATATTTTTAGTGAGATATTTGAATTCTGCATATTCATCCGGAATGTCCTATACACAGAAGTTAGGAGTCATCTCTTTAATTCCCAAAGGAAAAAGAGAAAGTTGGAGACCCATATCTTTATTGAACGTGGTGTATAAATTAGGTTCCGCTTGTATAGCAAACAGATTAAAGAAAGGAATTTTCTTTTCCTACATGATAATCAGAAAGGCTTTATGTCAGGGCGCTTCATCGGAGAGAAAATCCGTTTGTTATATGATTATTATTGTATACTGATATAAATGACATTCCTGGTATATTGCTGCTTTTTTGACTTGTTTTTCAATACAGGTCGATCAAACGCTCTTATTTACTGGGTGTAAGCCACAAATATGTCTAAATAATTGAAATTTCTCCCAGGATTGCATATATTGCTGCTTTTTTGACTTGTTTTTCAATACAGGTCGATCAAACGATCTTATTTACTGGGTGTAAGCCACAAATATCATGTGTCTAAATAATTGAAATTTCTCCCAAGAAGCATTACATATATAAAAGTTATTGTCCTATGGCGGACTAATGAATATTAATAAGTCACAATAAATCAGGAGAGCTTGGGTATTTGTTTCTAGTCCATCGTGACTATGCCATGGACCAGTGATGGCCTGGTGGTAGAGTCGCTGCCCGGCAGCTAATTTTTTTAATTCCCAAACAGGTTTGCCAATGCTAATATTTCCGGTCATCTGATTGGCTGATATGTTACGTAACTGGCAATGAAGTAACCGTTGGGAATAAAAATTTCGCTGCCCGGCAAGCAGTAGATGCTGGTTCCAAGATTTTTTCTGACTTGTTTTTCAATACAGATCGATCAATCGATCTTATTTACTGGGTGTAAGCCACAATTATGTCTAAATAATTGAAATTTGCAGGAAGCATTACATATATAAAAGCAAGATGGTGTTCTTTTGAATAGAAATCTAAATTGGGTATTTGATGATTATTTCAGATATTTAGATATAGACTTTTGTACGGATTTGCTCAAATTGGCAAATCACAATTATAATGAAAAAAAAAAAGAAAAAAAGAAAGTCAAATGACATCGTGGTTAAGGCGATACTTAACTGTTCTTGGAAGAATCACTGTTGTCAAATCATTGTTGGTATCCAAGTTAAACTTATTTTGTCCCTAGCTTCCTAATCCTGGTGAAAATCTTTTGAAAGATATAAATGCTCACTTTTATAGATTTATATGGGGGGAGAAACCTGACAAAATAAGTAGAAATCAAATGTCACAAAGGTCAGACGGAGGGGTTAAAATGATAGATATATACACACATTGCCAATCATTAAAAATGTCCTACTACTACTATACTACTACTACTATTACTCATACTACTCTCTTAATTTCTAGGACTTAAGTTTTAAATCCATTTTGAGACTTAAAATATTTCAAGTCTTTAAGACTTAATAAATTGGGAATTCGACTAAAAGTTTTATCGAAACCAGCTTCTAGATATAAATCTTGGAAAGACTTGAACTTCTCGCCAATAAGATGTGCATATTTCCAGTTGCACCTGTTGATGACTGACTGTTGGCATATTTCCAGTTGAACCAGCTGACACCAATTAATTTGCATATTGAATATGGGGTGCGTGCAGATCTATGTTTTTTTAACAATTTTTCTGAATTTACAGCATATTTCTTAATTACTGATGATTTAGGTATATGCAATTCATTTCGAAAATACTACAAATATAAATTACAAGTTATTAGGACATTTCGCTACTTCGTATGAATTCCATTTAATTAAACATGAATAAGGGAAACATTAACTATGAACTAAAATAATTTCAATAAAATACAAGTATATGAAAAAAAATTCGATTAATTAAATTATGTATAAGTCTACTTATTACCGATGCCTTTACATTGATAATACAGACGTACCAGTATTGAAGTGTTGTTGCCGTTCAATTGGTTGGAAGTTTTACCAAATGGTTCTAATGGCTTAGCTAGACCAGTAAATCTAAAAGACTTGAAATATAAATACAATTGACTTAAACTTTAAATCTTTCAGGGACTTAAAATTTTAAGTCTTAGCTTAGATTTATTTTTGAAATGAATCCAAGAAAGGTTTAAAATAAATATTAAAAGACTTGAAATATAAATCCAATTGACTTAAATTTTAAACCTTTTCAGGGACTTAAAATTTCAAGTCTTAGCTTAGACTTATTTTAAATCCCAAAGGGTTCGTCACTAATATCAGTCTCTGTTAGATTTAAAAGTAAGACTTTAAGATTTAAAAATAAGACTTTCAAATTTAGAGAGTAGGCCTACTACTAGGCCTACTACTACCGTACTGCTACTACTATACTATATACTACTACTATACTACTATATATACTATTATACTTATGACAATAATATCAATAATGATAATTTCATCACAGAGAGTGGGAGAGGGTATGGGAGAGGGCAGTTGGAGAGTGGGAGTGGGAGTGGAAGAGAGGTAAAGAGGAAGAGAGGTTATTTCTAATTCTTTCTTTCTTTGATTTGATTTTGTTTGCCAATTAGTCACAAATGACTATTCTATGAATTATTCATATATATATATATATATACATATACTAGTACTAATTAAGCTGTGACGTTTGGACCAGGGAGCTTCGAGATCCACCTCCCTAGGCCCTGAGCCAGCTGAGTGGACACAAACCTAACAATTAAAGTCAAACAAATTTTGCGGTGCTGCCATCGCGTTGTGACACCGGGTGTGACTAGTGGAGTACGCTGAGCTGCGCAAACTATACTGATGGTAGATGCATTTAAAAGAGCATCTAGCTTTGTGAGTCGATTCATCATGGTGACCAATCTCTGGTGCACGAAATTCTTCCAAAATCCCAGGTGTAAAAGCTAACGTAAAGACAAGGGGGTAAAGAAGTACTCATCTCTCTTGGAAAGTTAGGTAAGAAACGAATTTTACTCGACAAGCACCTAGCTTCAGGCTCCCTCCCTCTAGTATCGCGGTGGGCGATGAGGCGTGAGGCGAGAGTTTTCGTATTCCGTAACCAGTAGACCTATATAACACACATAGCTGCGCTGCATGCATGTATTACTATCCTGGCTGTGTATTAAAGTTAAAACCTGTTCTATACACCACTGTACTAAACTCAACTGATTTCACTGAACTTCGGTACTTTAGTGACAATTGATGACACCTAAATAGCAGTAAAATACAATTTTTCAAAGGATAATTCAAAAATTAAAATCATGAGTCGACGTCGAGCTACTGACACTGTCAAGCTTACAGCCACATTGGCATCATTGTGTGTATTTGTGTGTTATTTGTGTATTGAATATTCATGTGTGCACTTGCTGCCTATTATACTAGCACATTAGTGCAGCGCTAGAGGTCAATACGCATAATTAGCATATTGACTCTCTATGCTTTGCTGGAGAGGTCTATATACCTGTCTTTGAGTGAGTGTTGGCTTGTAATTGGGAGAATTTCGGGAATTTTGTTAAATGCCATTTTTTCTATGAAGTCTGAATCCTCTTTTTTTTTTTTTACTCCAAAATTAAATTAAATGCAAAATCTATACCGTTGTCCCACGTGTAGAGAAGAGTGCAGCGGAAGATATTTTTATGCCTCCGTTACAAAGTATCCGGAGGCATTATTTTTTTTCGGGTTGTCCGTCCGTCCGTACGTCTGTACGTCCCGTTCTTGTATTCGCGTTATCTCAAGAACCGACTGATGGATTCCTGCCAAATTTTGGTCATGTATGCAGCTTGCAGAGCCAATGAATTGATTAGATTTTGGGGTCACGAGGCCAAAGGCCACATGGCTCATTATGTATGCAAAAATAGCTTGTGACCACGTTATCTCAAGAACTGATTGATGGATTCCTGCCCTACTTAGGTCATGTATGTATCATGCAGAGCCAATTAATTAATTAGACTTTAGGGTCATGAGGTCATAGGTCAAAGGTCACAGGGCTCATTATGTATGCAAAAATAGCTTGTGATCACATTATCATTTAGAACCAATGGATGGATGACCATCAAACTCAAGATATGTATGTTTCTTGCAGAGCCAATGAACTGAGTAGATGTTGGGGTCATGAGGTCAAAAATTAAAGGGTCATACATGTATATCAGAAATAGCTTGTAATCACAATATTCTGAGAACCTGTCAATGGATTACAATCGAACTTGAATTTGAAAAATTGCTTCTGTTTTTGTTTATAAAGTTGCTCTATGACGGAGGCATCATTTTGACTGTGCTTAGTCAAAGTTCCCTCTAGTTTACGTACTGAAACGACTCGGACCTATATATATGGCACTAGTATTGTTATGATGTATAGTGCACTTTCGCAGGGGGCATGCATGCTTAGGTCTTTTCGACATATGCATTAGCGTCCACTCTTACATGTATGTCTAGCGTCTATAGAGTTGGTATGAAGAAACGAATAATACAAGTGAGAAATATGAAGAATGTCAGGTGGGGGTACGAACCTGCACTAAGGCCATATATAATACATGTACATGTATTTCATATATATTTCCAGAATGGACAAGAAGGAGTCTCGAGCCTCCAGATCGACAGCACCACTTCCTTCGGTTTTGAAATCTCATGGTCGGCAGGAGCCTGGGACTACTACGTCATTACTGCCTATCTAGGATCTGGTGAGGAAGCCCCTGGATATCCTATGAACTCCACCTCAACGTCTGCACAACTGATCCATCTGTACCCTGATACAGCTTACGATATTCAGGTACAACCTAAACTGAACAATGGAGAAGAAGGCCAACTGGACACTAGATCGGGCACAACTGATGGTAATAACTGTCATAAGAATTTCACTTACACCACGTATACACACTAACTTTTTGGGGAAAGGGGTCCGGATTTAACTTTTTTAGAGTCTGTATATGCATGCTACCTTTGTAAGAGTTTTTAAAATTGGGAGTTTTTAAATGGTTGACTTTTTGTTGTACTGAGCGAGGCGGGAAGAATCGCTGGCAATTCGCTCGAAGATGTCATTGACGAAGCTGTTAATTTTAGGCGACCGGGGGTAGAATTTGGGCAGCCGGTGTTCCAGGTGCCTGTTAGTATTGAACCCTGCTTATACATGTGCATTGTTATTGGAGATAACCTTTGACCCCTACATACATGTAGCTTTCCGTGTAGAATTGGCTCCTATGGGTCTGGTGTTTATTGGCCCAGATTTGTCCGGGGTATATCATACAGGAGGAGAGGGAAATAATTTTTAGAATTTCATTTTCAACTTTTTTAATAGCAACTCCAAATTTGTAGTAGAGTAATAGTTGAAAAGTCTCCAAATCAGGTCAACTAGCAAATGTAAGTAAATTAAAATTTACTTCAATTGATGTTAGTGTTTATTTTGAAGTAGTCCAGTAATCGATTTGTAACACACTCCCACATAGGTTTGTCCCAAGAGTTTGAATATATATTCTCTAATTTCAGCCTGGAGTTCTACTACTTTTAGTGAACCAATCATGCAAAATATAATGTGTCATGAGACATAGAATGATAACCTGCCAAACTTTATGTGGGATATTTAAGTTAATTTGAATTTAATTGAAATTCATGGATATTTCCTTCTTATTATTATGGAACATGGTTTGATGAAGAGGTCAGTATGTACAATAAAATGATAGATCAAACAATGAGGGAAGCCAAAAACCTATAAAGCAAGCCTTGTGTTTGGAATGTCCATTTAATACGAGTAAAATACATCATTAATAATTTTTTCAATATGTTTCTTGTACCTTAATAAGGGATAGAATGTTGAAAAGAAAATGGAGAATGACGGTTGAACAAAAATTAAAGCATGTAAAATTGAAACATTGAAGGAGTATGGACTTATGGGCTCTCAGGTTCTTAGATGCACTGTGGTAAAATCTGAGTCATAATATTTTGAAGCATTTTCCCCAAAAAAATTGTACTAAAATTTCCTGAATAATTTTGGTTGAGAATGAATATTAACCTGCAATTTACCTGTTCCTGAATTTCAAACCTGTACAATCAACATGCATATCTGTGGATGTTACACGTGAACCACCCGAACAGAGTATAGAGATATTAAAAGGGGAACAGGTGATTTTAGACTAGGGGGGCGTTTCACAAAGCCTTTTTTCAGTGACAAATAACAAAAATCAGTGACAAATCTGCTGATAATCAATGAGAAACAAGGATTTCGGTTGCTTATAACACAAGTTGTCATTTGTCACTGATGACAAGTTTTGTGAAATGACCCTAGGGCTGCTTAAAGGCCGGACCGCAGGGCATGGCAATCAGGACGGGTCGTTTCATGAAACCAACTCCATAACAGTCAAATCTATGTCCACGACCTATGGAGATGCCCGCCCCCCCCCCCACTCCGGGAATGGAGGGACCGCATGCGTGTTCCCAAAATCTCTGGCTCGTAACAAATGAAAAAAAGAAAGGGGGGGGGGAGGCAGTGGCGGATTTCTAAACTATCGGCTAAAAAGATATACCGGTAGTTTTTGTCACAATCAATGAGATTTTATCCTGAATTATCAAAAGAGATTATAAGGCTTAATTCATTCAAACTGTTTGTAAAAGTAAAGACAAGTTGAGCAACAGCGTCACAATTTCATTGATCTTGTAATTATGACGGTTTTGAGAAACAATTTTAGACCAGGGGGATGTTTCACAAAGACTAAGAACAACTTTAAGTTGGACTTAACTATGGCAAGCCATTCATGCCACTGGTTGCTCTCACTGTTGGTCTCTCAATTATGATCTTTAGATACTATTTTTTCCTTCCATAATGATCTTTAAAAAAAATGTAAATTCTGTAGATTTGTGACCACGATTTAAACGTCCCTTCAGAGACCAATGCCAGTAAATGGTAAGAGCAAACAACGGCATGAACTGCCTGCCATAGTAAAGGTCAATTTAAAGTCAATCTTAGTCTTTGTGAAACACCCCCCTGACCTGCTTAAAGTCTGGTAATCTAGAACACCATGGAGGCTCTGTTTTTGTATGCCTCCGTTACGAAATAGCCGGAGGCGTTATGTTTTCAGGTTGTCCGTCTGTACGTCTGTACGTCCCCTTTTTGTGATCGTGTTATCTCAAGAACCGATTGATGGATTCCTGCCAAACTTAAGTCGTGTATGTATCTTGCAGAGCTAATGAATTAATTAGATTCTGGGATCCCAAGGTCAAAGGTCAAAAGTCACAGTGCTCATTATGTATGCAAAAATTGCTTGTGATCGCGTTATCTCAATTAGAACCGATTGATGGATTCCTGTCAAACTTAGGTCATGTATGAATGTTGCAGAGCCAATGAATTGATTAGATTTTGGGGTCACAAGGTCAAAGGTCACAGGGCTCATTATTTTGCATAATAGCTCATGATCACATCATTAGAACCGATGGACAGATTACCATCAAACGCAGGTCATGTATGTATCTTGCTGAGCCAATGAACTGATTAAATTTTGGGGTTATGAGGTCAAAGGTAATGGGGCTTATTTATATATGCAAAAATAGCTTGCGATCGCATTAATATTAGAGCCGAGTAACGGATTACTATCAAACTCAAGACATGTAAGTATCTTGCAAAGCCAATGAACTGATTTTAGGGTCATAAGGTCAAAGATAAAAGAGTCATACATGTATATCAAAAATAGACTGTAATCACGATATTCCGAAAACCTGTTCATGGATTACAATTAACCTTGAATTTGAAAAATTGCTTCTGTTGTGGTTTGTGAAAATCGCTGTATGGCGGAGGCATCATTTTGGACTGCACGCAGTCAAAGTTCCATCTAATTTCATTTCATTTCTTAAAAACGGTATTTGACTCCCCCTTGATCATTCTTCACTATTGGCAGGGCTTTACACAAATTCTTTTTAGGAGGGGGTCTGGATTCTGGTGAAATGTGAGGAAGTTGGAGTTGCACGCAGGGCAGAGGCATGGTTGGTGACTGTGAGCAGTCAAATAGCTCTCATTAGGGACTTTTAGATTTGCACGTCAAAAAAGTGGACGTGTGACGCCCACTATGTCGACGCAGAAACGTTTTATTCCAGCCCATGTCGGTGTTGCTTTTTCTTGTTGGTTATAATACGCACAACCAGCCGGTCCATGTATTGCTATTGTTACCGGTAATTAATTAATCAATTAACGGTCTGCGTTTTTATAAAAGTAGAGCTAAATTGGTATGATCGTATTGGCTAAATTTCACACATTTTGGGGTCTGAAATTGCCTTCATAGAAATGTTAGGTCCTAAAAGGGCACTAGAAATGTCATAAACAAGAATAAAAGCAATAACAATGTACTTTGAAGTTTGAAGGCATTTGCGGTCTGAAACAAGAACTCAATTATCCCTTTCAGTTTTTTAACTATGAAAGGGTGGAATATACAAATAATTGATGCCAATTTGACGCTGAAGAACTGATTTATTTAGTCCTTTACCATGTTTCTACTTACTTTTTCTTCCCACTTTTTCTTCCCAAAGTCTCCCGCATAGAGGTGACGGTAAGGAGCGAAACCTTTATCAGTGTTGCTTACACCTTGCCCGAGGACGAGCCATCTTCCAATCAGCAAATAAGACTTGGTCATTTCGGGAGTACATTGCAGACTTCTGGTAATCAGCCAGTAAATAATATGGGGAGCATCATCTTCAATTCATTTCCCGCTGTCTCACCGGGAGATCTACTGTACGCATCAAATGCTCCATCGAGTGACCTAACCAACTACTTGAATGAGATCCACTTCAGATATCGTAAGTATTTCTTCCAGGAAACTGGGAATGAGATAATCGCAAAGACTTTCGAAAAATGAAGCCAAGGCATTCCAGTAGCCTTGTACATCACCGGTTGTAGTGTGTGTACATTACAGAGATGTATTATATAATCCTAACATGATACAGCATAAGGTGCTGAAATTAGCCTTTCATTAGTTTTCAATAGTCTTTGCGATTTTGAATGATAGTTAAAGATAAACTTTAGTACTGGTAATGCGATTGCATTGTGAAAGAAAAGGTGTGGAAAGGATCAGAAACAGTTCATCATGTAGCATGTAAGTATTGGTGTGCACTGCAAGGTTCTGGAGTCATCAAAATCATAATAAATTTGACCGAGTCTTGGTAAAGTAACAAGCACTCACATAGAAAGCTATATATGGGACAACACACATGGTGTCGGGGCTAGTACTACCTTGATTTCCTTGTCTTTCTATGCTCATTACTTAGCCAGTATACATTTTCTTCCAAAATTTTTCGGCACATGTCATTTATTTGTAATCTTGAACATTCAGTGTAAGTTTCGTTTGATTCTGTGAAAATTATTATTATTTTTTTTACCAGTACTGGAGTTTATCTTTAAAATATACAGATAATGAACCGCAAAAGACATTTCAAATAGCTTTGTGCATTGTGAAAACCAAGTGTTTTACCATGAAGTTGCAGATTTTGATCATCACATATTTGTATTCATGTGACTATAATTTTTACTCCTAAAGGCTAGTTCAGATATGGCATTGTAAACTGCTGCTGTTGCAAAAAAAATACAAAAAACACTTTTTTATTACACATGTAAATGAAGGCAAAATGAGATCTGTGTTGCGAAATACAGAAATATGAAGTGTATTTCACTTCGTGTCATGTAGAAAAAAGTTACAGGTTTTCTGCTTCATATCTAAATGAGCCTTATTGGGTAAATACAGCTTTAGACAAATTTTAGAAGATTTGTACTCATAGATTTCACCCTATCAGAAGTTTGATGGCAAGATATAATGCTAAAAATTACAATTTTGGCAAATATACCCCTATTTTGCATTTTTCAGTTCCCACATATAATATGACTCTTTGTTGCATTAAAACATGTCTTTTAATTTTCTCTGTATTTATACCTGCTTATCGAGTATACAAGTACCCCGTTTTCACAAACTTTGTTCAAGCATACAATGTGAAAATGTGAACCTCTTTAATCAAACTTACTCTTTAAAAAAACATACCCTTTATTTCAAATCCAATCCGTCATACTTTTTTTCAAATCTGCAAACGTTGAAATGTTCTTCAGCATTCCTGAACATTCTTTTTTGGAGGCAAAATGTGTCGACCGCACTTTCATGCCACACGTGTGTGTAGTGACATGTACATATTTGGGCTATGTCTACCTTGCATACAACTTTTAGCAAGACTGCGCTAATTTTTTATCATTTTTATAATTCCAAAACCTCACAGTATACACCAGGGTGGTGTTTCTCAAAGCCTTTTCTCAATGACAAATGACAAAAATCAGTGACAGATCTGCTGACAACCAATCAGAAGCAAGGATTTCAGTAGCTTATAACAAAAACTGTCATTTGTCACTGATGAAAAGTTTTGTGAAACACCCCCTGTACTATGTGTTACAAAACTATCCTGCATATACAAATTAAGTCAATATGAAGTGATACCAGTGGGTGATTGTCTATAATAAAGTTTTGCTTTTGACAGCTGTGTTGATGATGAATATCCCTTTATTCCTTCCATCAAAGCTCCAAATCCCCCCCAGAATGTCATGGTAAATCCATCGCCAGGCAATGCTTTTGCAGTGACCTTCGACCTTCCAGCAACTGGTGGCAACTATGATGGATTTAAGATCTGTGTCAACGACGAAGTGCGGGAGACTCTGATGGGCAGTGCCACGACTTCAGTGATCATCGACGGTTTGGCCCCAAATACGCCGTATACGTTCGATGTGACGTCTTTTGTGGGTATCGGCGGGGATGAAGCAGAAAGCGAAATCTTCAGTGACACCCGAATTCTAGGTATGAGGTTGGGTTTTTTCACATGATTTTGTTTTTCAAGTAAACTGTATGTATGGGCATGAAAAGACAGGTTCTTGAGGTCAGATGTTTTAAGTAAGGTTACAGGAACATTGATAAATGTGCACATGAGGCATATCATAGATGCAGTGGCATTCGATCATCTTGTTTCACTTGTTTCATGTTTTCCATACTATATCTACTTTTTCTTATGTAATCTTCTGATCTGTTTCTTTTACAATTGTATGTAGGCCTATGTTGTTAACTCATATCCTGCCATAAGACTGCTAGCGCGCTATTGTTATAGTGCTCTGTGCACGCGAGCGCGCTATCAATTGATTGCTTCGTTCATGCTAGCGAGCTACCGTTTGTCTGCTTTGTGCACGCTAGCGCGCATATGTAATAACAGTTATTGTTCATGCCCATTGCACCGTACTGAGTGCTTTTGCAGTGCTATTGAAAGTACCATCGAGTGCATCAGATTATCGGCTTTGGATTACACGTCTTTGTATACAACAGTCAGATTGGATTTTCTCAAGAAATTCAGCGATTTGTTTTTTGTTAAGATTTAATTAACACGCACTTGAACCAACCTTAAAATTAACTTGGCACACAGGAGATTTGCGGCTGGCACAATAGGGATTAGCACTGGGGTACTGGGTGCATTGTATGGGTGGCAGCTTAAGAGTATAAGTACCTTAACCCTATGTAAACTGGGGGGGGGGGGGGGGTCAATTTGACCCCCTGCAGTAATTTCGTGACTACTCTGGAACCGCGGCAGATATCGAGTTTTCCTTTCACAACTTTTTGCTTTCGAGTCTCACGCATCTTTAAATTTTTTTTGTTTTGAAAATCGTACGTAAAGTTACAAATTCACGGGACCTTTTGTCTTTGCATGTCAGCCCGAAAATCGCTCATTTTTGTGATTTGTGTACAAAACATATGGAAATATCATTTTTCCTAATAAGAGATAAAACATTGGTTATTTGGTCTTGTTTAAAGTTTAGGTGTTTGTTTTGGGGTCAAATAGTTGAATTGTAGTTAGAAATGAAATAAAACAATAAATATAAGTTAAGAAAAACAATGAAATACATAAGAAATTATCAAAACAATAGATAACATAAAGAATTGACCCCCCCCCCCCCCCCGGTAAAAGCCTGGTCTGAAATAGGTAAGCATCCCTTGGGATGGATATGCGTATATTGGAAATGTTTCTATTATTATTGTTGATTTTTAAAAAAAAACCTAATTAATATTATTACTATTATTTTTGTTATTATAATTAGTAGTAGTAGTAGCAGTAGTAGTAGAACTAGTAGTAGAAGTTGAGTTGATTTTATTGACTTTTTCTACCCCCTTTTGGGGTATGAGAGTTCCATCAAATACATAAACATATCAAGGTATACGTGTTATGTAAAATGAGAATGAATAATTTGTTCATAAACTACAGTATAAAAAAATTATAAACATAAGAAAGTGATAATAAACCGTACATGTAAAATATATTTCAAATCAAGCAGTGAAGGTGGCTTTAGCTACTCTATCACTACTTGATATTACTTCCTTTAAAATACATACATGTACATATCTATGTTTGAGTCCTGAGCTCTCTAGTTTAATAATGAGATAAAATGCAGGACAATTATATGGATTAGCATACATGCCAACTGTTCAGATTAAAGAGGAACATTCCTCTTTTTGGGAGAAGATAATTATCATTTTAATGCAGGTGTTCCTCTTCCTGTACAAATTTGTCTGTAGTATTGAATAGGAGAGTTAGGATTGTTCCTCTTTTTTTTGAAAATAGCATAATTTGTACAGATTTCTGATTTTAAAATGTTGGCATGTATGGATTAGGTAGTAGTAGTAGTATTTCTACTACTACTTCCCAAGCCTGGAATAATTTTTTTCCATGGGGGCTCTTTCCCTCAAAAATGCTCCGTGAGCCTTTTCACAGGGACTCTTACAGTAATGACGGGGGCTCTTTTTTTTAATACAAATTTCCATTGAATTGGTACCCATGATACTCCTAAATTATATACTTTTTCATCATCATTTATTTAAGTCAGCATTTTCCCTCTTACAACTTTACAAGTTACATGGGGTCCGTTACTGACTTTCATCCCGTGATGACATTCTCTCCATTTCTTCCTGTTCTGCATGTTTCGGTCATTGCAATCGCCTCTAGCTCCAGCAGATATGCCGCGGAAGCATTGACACCGGTACTACCGGCGCGGTATAGCCGCTGCTGACGGTCGCACTGCACTGCAATGTTTGTATCGGTAAACATTTTTATTGTTGTTTTTATTTTTGTTACTTCCGCAGTGAACTTTAACCTCATCCTGAGAGAGGAGACAGTCCTTGGTCTATCTTGGGGCCAACCTGAAGGCACAGACTATGACAGTCTTCGGCTGGAAGCATCATTTGGACTGAACAGCAGAATCGAGGACCTGCCAGCTGAATCTCTAGCTTTCAACTTAACCGAACTTACTCCCGGAACCGAGCACACTGTGTCTCTTTACAAGAAGATGGGCGAAGACAGAGGGGATCTCGTCACACGGAATACATTTCAGACATGTAAGTATAAAACTGAAAGGAAAATCTGACCCTTGTATAGGACTCCACGCTACCTTCTTTTGAAGGTGGTCTGGATTGACCTTAAAAGTCTGTATGTATGAGCCCTATTTTAACATGAAAACGTTGGGGAGTCTGGACTTGTATTTTGGGCGCCCGTGAGAATCCGCTCTTTCTGAATCTGATTTAACTCTTTATATGCCACACAAATAGTCTCCCTGTGCCATATTGCATTATCGTGGGATAGATATAACAAAGGCTTCAAGATGTTTAACTATTTTCAGTGCAGGATTAATCTACAAACTATATATTGGTGTTAAAAAGGATGTCCTGGAGCTAAACAAGACTGGAAATGGGTAACTTTCCAAAGCCATCGTGTTGCGCAAAGCAATCCTTCAGTCAATTTGCACAACTGGCAAGTTCCTGGATTACAGATGTAAGACACCATAAATGTTACTAGAAATAAATGGTTTCTCCCGACTCAAATCACATTATGTATGTGCAAGAGTAAGCAATATTTGAAAGCTGTTACAGATACGAAGGTGGGATGGGCCCAAAGCTCATATCTAGGATCATAATTAGAATATTTCATCCCGGTCATTTTTCGATGGTTATTTATATTGACCATACGGTAAAATGGGTATATTTTTGCATGGTACAGTATCCAAGCAACTCTGCGCATACCATACCCATTGTTTTCTAATGTGGCCAGGCATAGTGCTAGATAGTGTGAAAAAATACAAGGCACGACATCGCAAATCCCCTTTATTTTATAAAACAAAGTATAATAACGGCTATCCAATAAAAGCAGATATTCACAGGAGGGTGTAATATACATTATGTGGACTGCAAGAGAGTTTATATTTCCCTCATGCTCATAAACCCTTGGGAAAATATAACTCCCTTCCATGGTCTAAAGAATGTGATGTTACACAACCTACCAGTCAATATTTGCGTAATACATTTATTCTCCTATTTCTTTCCAGTGCCTGCCACCCTGGATGCAAGCACCATCACCTTCTCTGTGAAGGAGAATGGTGACCTGGTAATGAACTGGAGAAGTGACCCAGGAGTGGTGGATTATTATGAGGTTACTGTCACCCCCGGGGACATGGTCTTGAACATCACAGCGAACACGTACACATTCACTACTCTGGACCCGTCGACCACTTACACATTCAGCATCAAAACTTTTACGGGTGGCTTTGAGTCGACAGGCACGGCTACGGAAAACAGATTTACAGGTAACTCTCAAAGATTGGTTTCTACTGGGCATTGATTGACATAGTGCCTAAGGCATTCATATTGTGAACCCTTTCAATGGTGATCCAACAATTTGCTTCACGTTTTATTTATCAAAAGCACAGGATGAGGGTTAGGGTTGCAATTTGGTTTCAGGGGGGGGGGGAGTAGGGGCTTCTAAAAATATTAAAGTGTTCCAATCCCTAAAACATAATGCCTCTATACTATATTTAAAGTTGCTTGTAAGTGTCGGCTTGCATGGTGATGTAGATATACAGTAGGTTTGCGGGTGCACCATGTGAGAGAGAGAGAGAGAGAGGGTTGAGGAGTCCTGAAAAGGACTCTGACTCAGTAATCTTTCTTGGGGGTGTAGTAGTCCTGAGAAGGACTGTTTGTTATCTTTCTTAGCATATAGTTCTAAGGAGAATTATAGCGCTTGGAGAGGATGAGTGGCTCGACGTTTCGAACAGGTTGACTATCCGTCGTCAGGACTCAGGACTACCACAACCCCAAGAAAGATTACAGAGTCAGAGTCGTTTTCAGGACTCCTCAACCCTCTCTCTCTCTCACATGGTGCACCCGCAAACCTACTGTATATATTTAAAGTGTTTAAAGGACTTTACATATTACTTCTGTATAGAGACATTGCAAGTTCAAACACAGTCAGTAAACATAAACACATGTTGTGAGTAGACCGGCACATGCTCCCTTAGAACAGGACCTACACGGAAACTAAGCCTAGTTCCTTGTGTGCATTTTTTCATCAGCTGTTAACCCATAGAATGTCAGATAAAGTTTTCAATGTTTATTTTTATACATTCTAGCTGTACACAAATTACCAATGCTAAATAATTTCTGCAAAAGTTGACTTACAATATGTATTTTAGTTTGGTATATGTTTATGTCTCTCTATATTTTTAACTTGTTTGTAAATTGAACATTTTCAGCCTGCGAGCTGCTTGTTTGATGTGATTTTTCAATAAACCAAACCAATTCAATTCAAAATTTAGGTGACTGTTACACTTTAACTGTTAAACTGAACAGTATTTTAGCCAAATAAAGAAAAGATGAATCTTAAAAGAATTATTGACATATTGTACAGGGTGTGAGGTGCCATCTTTCTTATGATATCAATCCTCATCGTCATTGTTAAATTCTTGTAATTTTTACCATGATACACACCTGTCAGTAAAATCATTCCAACAATGATAAAGGCTCGGTCACAAATGCCATTTCGAACTGCTACGAACACCGTACGAATGATTTTCAGACAATGGAAATTCAGGAAGACAATGGAAAAACAGAGATTCGTACGGTACAGAATTATCTTTCGTACACACCTTTGTGACCATAGCATAAGGCTACATGTCACAATGAGCTAATATCAGGGGGGTGTTTCACAAAACTTGTCATCAGTGACAAATGGCAGTTGATGTTATAAGCTACTGAAATCCTTGCTTCTGATTGGTTATCAGCAGATTTGTCACTGATATTTGTCATTTGTCATTGAAAAAAGGCTTTGTGAAGCGGTTCCCAGGATTCTTTTGTTGTAACCACTTGCCATTTCCTCTGTTTTCTAGCCATTCTCTCACTATTGTCTCAGCCTTTTTATGCCTCCGCCACCGAAGGTGGTGCCGGAGGCATCATGTTTTCGGGTTGTCCGTCCGTACGTCCGTCCCGTTTGACCGTTATCACAATATCTCAAGAACCATTTAAGATTTAAACGTAAGACTCAGGAATAGTATTTATCACCATAGGAAGACGATCTGATTAGATTTTGGAGTACGTAGGTCAAAGGTCACAGGTCACAGAGGTCAACTTATGAAATTCCTTGTATTGAGTTTGTTAGCGCGATATCTCAAGAACCATTTGAGATTTAAACTTCAAACTTAAGGATAGTATGTATCACCATAGGAAGACGATCTGATTAGATTTTGGAGCACGTATGTCAAAGGTCAAGGGTCACAGAGGTCAACTTATGAAATTCCATACATTGAGATTGTTATCATGATATCTCAAGAACCACTGGAGATTTAAACTTCAAACTTAGTGATAGTGTGTATCACTATAGGAAAACAATCTGATTACATTTTGGAGCACGTATGTCAAAGGTCAAGGGTCATAGAGGTCAACTTATGAAATTCCATACATTGAGATTGTTATCATGATATCTCAAGAACCACTGGAGATGTAAAAACTTCAAACTTAAGGATAGTATGTATTACCATAGGAAGACGATCTGATTAGATTTTAGAGCACGTAGGTCAGAGGTCAAGGGTCACAGAGGTCAACTTATGAAATTCCATACATTGAGATTGTTATCATGATATCTCAAGAACCACTGGAGATGTAAAAACTTCAAACTTAAGGATAGTATGAATCACCATAGGAAGACGATCTGATTAGATTTTGGAGCACGTAGGTCAAAGGTCAAGGGTCACAGAGGTCAACTTATGAAATTCCATACATTGAGATTGTTATCATAATATCTCAAGAACCACTGGAGATTTAAACTTCAAACCTAATGATAGTGTGTATCACCATAGGAAGACAATCTGATTAGATTTTGGAGCACGTAGGTCAAAGGTCAAGGGTCACAGAGGTCAACTTATGAAATTCCATACATTGAGATCGTTATCGCGATATCTCAAGAACCACTGGAGAATTTTCACTTCAAACTTAATGACAGTATGTATCACCATATCATAATATCTCAAGAACCACTGGAGATTTAAACTTCAAACTTAATGATAGTGTGTATCACCATAGGAAGACAATCTGAAAAGATTTTGGAGCACGTAGGTCAAAGGTCAAGGGTCACAGAGGTCAACTTATGAAATTCCATACATTGAGATTGTTATCATGATATCTCAAGAACCACTGGAGATTTAAACTCCAAACTTGTTTAAATTGCTCTATGGCGGAGGCATCATTTTCGACTGCGCGCAGTCAAAATTCCATCTAGTTTTTTTACTACTATGGCATTCAAATTCAAATTCAAAGTTTATTCAACACTCTTCATAATAACATTTAAAACATACAAATACAGAATGAAGTTATTAAAAAAAAAAGTGATAACAAATACGATGGCAATTTATAAGAGCATTTGGGATAGGCAGAAAGGAGGGATTCCTTATATAAAAGCCTACCCCTAAAAACACACATACAGGAAAACAAGAACAAAAGAACAGAACAAAAAACAAAGAACATACTTAAACTTACTATCATGCACGATCAGAGTAAAAAAAAGTGTCAAAATTTGCCCATGCTATTAATACTGATTATTATACTTATTTAACAGATATTGTTTATATTTAATTTTAAAAAGATTGACAGTTTTTAATTTCCTGAGGTATACTATTCCATATTAATGGTCCTTTAAAAAATAATGAATAAATAATAATGAAATTCTGTTTTGTTGCTTAGATTCCTCTGCTTTATCGCTGGTTTGTAGCAAATTGAAGGGTGGGTTTATAAGACATCTAAGTTATTAAATAGAAACAGCAACAAAACAGCTAATTCTGTGGTTTCTAGTATTTGTTTCCCTGTGTGTACATGTATACATATTCATATCTTGATTATTTCTAAATGAACTTGCAGGCCCTGCAGCCCCAGGAGGCATCGAGATTACTGCTTACTCAACTGGAGCCGATATCGATTGGACAGATGTTCCCGATGCAGAAATGTATCGTGTTATTCTCAAAAGTAAATTGAAAGCAGTATTTAACAATGCTACAATATTCTAGCATTTTTCAATCATGGGGAATCATATCAACTCAAATTTTCTAGTCCCAGTCCTACAAAAAGTCTATCATTTGATGATGATAATAATAATGACGATGATGATGATGATGATATTGATGATAATGATGGTGATGATGATAATAATATTAATGATAGTGATAATAATATTAATGATAGTAATAATAATAATTTTAAAAATGAAGATGATGATAATAAAATGAACGATGATATTACTCTTTTCAACAAGGCTATCACATGATGCTACTGAATGCCTTAATTTGTGAATAACAGTAAATAACAATGATAATGATATTAATAATGAGAGTGATGGTAATGATGATGATGATGATGGACTCTCGTTTTTTTTTCTTGCCATTTTGTGGTGCCCAAAATCATCTTATAACAATAATTACAATAATAAAGAAACTGATAATAATAATAATAATAATAATAACAGTAATATTAATGATAACTAAATGATAAAAATAACATTAGTAATAATAATATGAATATATTTGTAATAGTGGTAATAGTTATAATAATGAGGAATATATTCATAATTAAGAATAAGGATTAGAAATATAATAATATAATGACAATAATTATGATAAAAATAATCCTAGTGATACAATAAAAGTGACAATAATAATAAGGGAGAGTTCTCCACCAATAGGGTGGAGAATTTATGCTGCTAATGGGTTTTCTTCATAATGTAATAGCAATGTTAATGATCGTACCAACATATATGATGGAAAATACAGCAAAAGCCTGTTTAGAAAGGAATTTCTATAAATTGTTCCCATGCTTCTGTCTTCCCTGTACCAAACAGATTTAAGCGGTGACACTTTGTCTGATGATATGTACGATGGACCTCCATTTGAGCCACAGGACTTGGAAGAAGCAACTGCCTACTCAGTTTCCATCACGTCGATAGACACAAATGGAATTGCTGGAGAACAGCTCACTGGCAGGACCAGCACCATGCCCTTCACAACAAGTAAATTCACCTTCAGAGGGGTGTTTCACAAAGATCCTAAGTCAAACTTAACTCTAAGTTGGACATAAACATTATGGAGAGCCATTTCTAGCCTTAGAATAAAATATATTCAAAAGCAAAAATTCAAGTATTTAAACTTTTCATAAAGTCCACATCCAGAACATGAAATCTCTTTGATAATAGAAAATTTGAATGATTTGAATCAACATTTTATCCCTTCTAAAATAACTTTTGCAAAATATTTTCAAAGATGCTAATGGCTTTCCCTAATTGCTAAGTCTAACTAGAGATAAGTTCAACTTAGACTCTTTGTGAAACACCCCCCCCTGTAGTAACAAAAAAATTATAATAATTGACCCCTTCTGTGATAACAAGATTACATATTTCATGTATATACATATGTATATAGGAAATAAAAGTCGTAGTCTGCCTCTGAATAAACCTGGAAAATAGAACAAGTTGAAATAATTGAATAATTCTGTAAAACTTCTAAAACTTGGAATTTTCACCCGTAGGGCTTCAAAATATTATCCAGCTTTTGACTGGCAGGGGGTGTAATATATAACATTCTTAGAACCGTTGAAAGGAGTTATATTTTCCCAAAGCGCACAGTGCTAAGGGAAAAATATGGTCACGAGGGTTCAAAATTTAGGGGGGGGGGCGTCCATTTTTTTTGCACGAAATTATTTTCATTTTTTCTTGAGAAAACGAAACAAATTTAGAAAAAAAAAGTGAAAGAAAAAAAAAAAATTAAATAATAATTTGACAAAAAAAATTTTGGACAAAATAATACCAAGGAAAAAAACAATTTGAAAAAAATACTGAAAACAAAAAATTGACCCCTGGTATTGGTGTAATTTGTGTAATTAGTGACATACAGTCCTCAAGAGGGCGACATGCATTGATAAAAAAATGTTTATTTCACCAGCTGGTTAATATAACAATTTTACGATCCTTGCAATCGATATCACGTAGCTCTGGACCGATCACATCTAGGTATCTGTCTAAGCTATCTAATATATTGAAATACATAATGCCATGAGAGGGTCTGGATAAATTTTATGCTTACAGCCCTCATTTAGTATTCAAAAATAGCTTGTGATCGCATTATCATGAGACCCAATAGACAGATTACAATCAAACTCAAGGCATGTATATGTATCTTGCAGAGCCAATGAACTGATTAGATTTTAGGGTCATGAGGTCAAGGGTCATGGGGCTCATTATGTTGCCTATAAATAGCTTGCGAACGCATTACCATTAGAACAGACGGATGGACTACTAGCAAACTATCCATCTAGTTCAGTGTGATATCGGATGTTTAATAACAGTCAAGGATCATAGTGCAGTCTCTAGTTCACCGAGGAGCTACGGTTTCAACCATGATGTGAAAATATGCAGGGGGGTGTTTCACAAAGATCTTAAGTTGAACTTATCTCTAAGTTGAACTTGAAAATTATGAAAAGCTGTTAGCATCATTGAAAATATTTTGTAAAAGTTATTTCAAAAGGCATAAAATGTTGATTCAAATGATTCATATTTTCTATTATCAAGGAGATTTCATGTTCTTGATGTGGAATTTATGAAAAGTCTAAAATTATTTAATTTTTGCTTTTGGAAATATTTTATTTTTACGCTACAAATGGCTCTCCATAATATTTAAGTCCAACTTAGAGTTAAGTTTGACTTAGGATCTTTGTGAAACACCCCCCCCCCCCCCAGCTACTCTTTGTTTTCAGTACTGCATCCCGCATGTAGATTCTTACAGGGGATATTTTGACAAGATATGCCTGTCACAATGTATAGTTATTTGTTAGAAAATTTACCAGTCTAACTAGTGAACGTGTCTTACTGCATGTATCCATTACAAACTTTATGCCCATTTGTTGCACCCTAGCATTGTACATGCAAACTCAAGCAATGCTCAGTCAATAGCCTTTTGTTCATAGTCTCAAACACTAGAATTATATTCTACAATCGGACTAATGTTTTTGTGTATCTCAATCCATACAAGAAGTTAAAAAACTATACACTAGTCTTATTGTTGTGGATAAATCTGCATGGCAAGTTGTAATTCTTTCTTTTTGTCTCTCCCACAGTCACACGCTTTGCAGAGGTGACTTCCAGGACGGGGGACAGTATAACCCTAGGCAGCTTGACTGCGGGTGATGAGGCATCAGCAGAAGGTGGTGGTTCAGTCTTGGCTGATGTGTTGGGGAACGGAGTTATATTCGGATTATCACCGGCCAGGTGCTATAGAATTGAAGTCGCCAGAAGTTTAGCTTTAATTGATTTTTTTGAAGAATGCACCCGTAAGTATGAATTGTCTGTTTCTTTGTTTTACCCGATTGCTAAGAAAGTATTTGTATGCTTGTACATGTTAATAAGTAACCAGGGGTTAGTTTCTCAAACCGTTGCAAGTCTAAGATAATGGACATCCCGAAGAAGTGTACGTTATTTCTACAAAATGTGTTCTGATGGGATGTCCAAGAAGTTAGACTTAGTTTATAGACGGCTCTGTCCTCTCTGACGGACTTGGTAATGAGGATCAATGTACCCTTACCAAAGAGCATTAACCCATTTTTTCAACCTGGGACCTTCCAGTTACGAGACCACTGCTCTACCATGGAGCTGTCATGCTTCCTTCAATTCCTAAGATCTAGACCATCTTGATGATCCTGTTCAACAACCGTTCAGCCAAGTTTTTACTTGTAGTGCCTGCTGTCATTGTACATGTTCACTTACAGTACCGCCCATGGTAAAATTATCTAGCGAACAAAGTTGTTTCATTGAAAATGATGTGTGTTAGTTGTATAACGCCATCTGTGGCGTCACTGCACATAATGAGCTTGCATACAGAGAGACCTGAATAATACAGCCTTAAAGCTAGTAATACAAAGTTTTGTGAAATTTTGAAAAATTGGCTGGAAAAATAATCTTTACAATTTTGAAAATTGGCTGGAAAAAGATTCTTTACAATTTTGAAACATTTGTATGACCCTGTGGATGTATTATAAGCACTAAAAAATTAAGCCCCTAAAACACTTCTGCTTCTGTGAAAAATTTAATATCAAAATTTACCGGTGCTCCTGGTAAATTTCGATAATTTTCAAATAGCGCCTACAGCCATACAATGGTAGCTGCGACCATGAAAATCTCAGAATATGTAGTTGGGCTAAATAATTTTCAAACGGGAATAGCCAATTGGTCAATTTTAGTCAAGAAACATTGTTTTATAGCGAAATTAATATCTTGACCTTGGGAGGGAGTTATACAACATCAAGAGTTTATTATTTACAGTTTTATCACTTTAGACTTGATTTCAACCGTGACAACAATCACTGAATATTGTAGGATCGCATATGCTTTCAATATGTTTATTTGAACCAAATTCATGACCCCATACCAAAACTTTGTAATACCTTTAATATAACTTTTGTAAAAGTGATTCTCGAGTGCAAACAAAAAAAGAAATGAAGATAAACATTCTTAGGAAGGCTTTCTGCGAATTGTTTTGTCTCATGTATTACATGTATAATGATCTAGGATATCAGCATACATTGACGGATTTGTGTTATGTATTTTCGTCTCGCCCTCGAGCAAAAAGCGAGACATAGGCGCCGCTTTTCCGATGACGGCGGCGGCGACGCCGTAAACATCAAAAACTTAACCTCAGGTTAAGTTTTTGAAATTTTAGTATAATTTTGAAAGTATAAGTTCTTCTTCAATGAAACTTGGACCAAAGGGTTATCAAGTATTCTCAATCATGTGAGTAGATTTTCAGGTCACAAAGTCAAGGTCAAAGGTCATTTCAGGTCAACAGACTTGGACTATAATAATAATAATAATATTGGCATTTATATAGCGCTCTTACAGACATACATGTGTATCACAGCGCTTTACAACATTACATTACTTAATTGACATTGATAGCAAACAATAAAATTACGTACACAAAAATATATAAATTCAACTATTAAAGAGGAAGGTTTTCAAGGAACGTTGAAAGATGGCGAGAGAAGGAGAAGATCGTACAGCCTGAGGGAGATTGTTCCAGAGATGTGGTGCGGAAACAGAAAAAGATCGATCCCCAAAGCGTGTACGACTCCTGGGAACCGAGAGCAAGGTTGGGTCGTTGCCAGATCTCAGACCATGCCTTCCTGGTTGATGTAATGAGAGAAGGTTTTGGAGATAGGAGGGAGCCATTTTATGGATGCACTTGTAGGTCATTGTGAGAATTTTGTATGTGATTCGCTTTTCTATTGGAAGCCAATGGAGCTGACGAAGGAAGGGAGAGGCATGGTCATGCTTCTTAGCGCGGAACACCAACTTTGCTGCTCGGTTCTGAGCTCGTTGCAGGCGATTTATATTTGACATAGAAATATTACATAGAAGAGAATTGGAATAATCAGTCCTAGATGTGACGAGAGCACGTACAGCATGCTCACACGCAGACTTGTCTAGGTAGGGTCTGATCCGAGCAATATTAGATAGATGGAAGTGGAGCGTACTATGTTGTGGCATCATTCTCAAAACTTTCCAAAAGGTTACGATTTTGAATTTTTATCATAATTTTGAAAGAATACATTCCTATTCCATGAAACTTGAACATAGGGGTTATCAAGGTATCATCAATCATGTGATTTAGTCTTTGAGGTGACAAAGTCAAGGTCAAATGTAATTTAAGTTCTGCAAACTTAGACTTTGTTGTGGTATCAACATCAAGATTTTGAATTTTTTAGCATAATTTCAAAAGCGTGTTTTCAAATTCCATGAAACTTGTAGACAAGGGTTATCAAGTAACACAAATCATATGACACAAATTCCAGATCACGAAGTCCAGGTCAAAGGTCATTTTAGGTCAGTAGACTTGGATTATGTTTTCACAACTTAATATGAGAATTAATAAATCAATATTATTATTTGTTCATATTCCATTAAAGTTATCAACCTTGTTACAAATTATAGTACATAATTGTTTTGATGATTCTTAGCCAATATTCACTTCAAAATGCTGATTATATTCCAAGGTTTTCATTTTCATTTTCATTCTTTTTTTTTTTTTGGTGGGAGGGGGGGGGGGAGGGCCTGCTAATGGGCCACCTTTTCTATAAATAATGTTCCAACCTCAATTTTTCATCATATAGAATTCCGTAATGCAGGCGAGACCGCCGAGAGTGTTTCCCTTGTTTTGTGTGTGTATGCCATTCTTTGATAACCGTCATGTACAGTTATAACCCTAATCCAAATCTGTATTCCTTTCCAGTGCCTGATCCACCTTCTGTGACCGTACAGAGAGGGAGCCCTACTGATTCACTGCTGTTGTTGAACATCACCGCACCAAGCAGTAGCAGTGAATTGGTGACATACGCTGTAACCGGTGGGGGATCAGATGTGCCTCAGACAGTCACAGACATTTCATCTTCGATCTCTTTCTCTGGCTTGGAACCGTACACAAACTACACCTTCACAGTGGTGTCTGTGTTCATGAATCTGGAAAGTTCAGAGGTCACCGAATCAGAAAGCACAGGTACAATTGAGGGGATAATGAATGAGACCTGACTCGTTTATTGAGAATATCATTTAAGTTTGCCCCTAATTTTCTAGAAATTGTCATCTATTTCTTGTCATAGAGTGGTGAAGTGTGACGTCATCAAAAATGTTTTTTTAGAATTTCTAAATTTTTTCTTCATTTTCCGAAAGAGCATAACAAATAATGTCCAACTGTCGAATGTAAAACTCAGTGTTATTTTGCTCTGGTTCAAAACATTACGAACCAGAGCAAAATAACACTGAGTTCATATAGGAAATCTATTATTCAGATGGTCATATCTCAGCCAATACTTAACATATTCAATTGTTATTTTGTGTTATTTTGCTCTGGTTCAAAACATTATGAACCATAGCAAAATAACACCGAGTTCCTATAGGAAATCTATTATTCAGATGGTCATATCTCAGCCAATACTTAACATATTCAATTGGTTTTCTACATTTGGACATTATTTTTGATGCTCTTTCAGGTAATGTAGAAATAAATGAGAAATTCTAAAAATAGATTTTTATGATGTCACAGCTTCGGTACTCTATATCATCATTAGTTTGAAATTGACGGAGCTTTAACATTACAGGTAGTCAGCTGCAAACTCAAAATTTTCATTCATTTATTACATGTGCATAGCTTATGAACTTTTTCATTTTGATGATGTCAACTGAAGAATATGCGAAAAGAGAGAAATAAAGAGAAAATATCCTAAAACACTGCATGAAAGGACTGTCCGTCGCTTATGCCCAGAACATATCTGTATTTGACATGCTTTCCTCTCCTTGATTCCCATTCACCAGGGGGGTGTTTCACAAAGAACCTAAGTTGAAATTATCTCTAAGTTGGACTTAACAATTATGGAAAGCCGTTAGCATTATTGAAAATATTTTGTAAACATTATTTTAAAAGGCATAAAATGTTGATTCAAATCATTCATATTTTCTGTTATCTGTGGAGATTTCATGTTCTTGATGTGGAATTTATGAAAAGTCTAAAACACTTGAATTTTGCTTTTGAATGTATTTCATTATAAGGCTACAAATAGCTCTCCATATTGTTTAAGTCCAACATAGAGTTAAGTTTGACTTAGAATCTTTGTGAAACACCCCCCAGCTCTTAGTAGTCCTTCGAACTTTGAGGCTACATTGACCACCTATACTGAAATCACTTTGGAGTGGACAGCTGTTCCTAATGCTGCAATCTACATTCTAAGACGAACCCCAGGAGATGATCAAGTTATGACTAATCAGCCCAGCCATACCTTCACCGGCTTACGGTCAAGCAGAGTCTACAGCTTTTCTATCATTAGCTCCCGCGCCGGGGACTTTGACAGTGAAGAAGTGACTATCGATGCTTCCGCAGGCAAGTACATGCAGCAAACCGAAGTGCTTGGCCGATTTTGGGGGCTTTCCTTGCAGTCAACAATTATCTATTGATACCTGAACTGGCTGTTGTTCACAATTGCACAATACATATACCCCCCCCCCCACCCCTTTAAAAAAAATGCTCTTTTGGATTTAGGGAGGAGGTCACAACCAACCCATGCCCCCTTAAAATCCAAGTGGCATCCTTTTAAAAAACAAAACTGATGTGTTAAAGATACAAGAAGAATGTCACCCTTTTTTCTTTTTACTGTGTATCTAAATGAGGCTTAACCTGTCTGAGAATAACTACCGTATACCAATACACCACTCAAGTTGTGAAGTAAAAGACCACACTGCCCTAATTCTACATGGCTTGTTACCTATGTTTACTTCACTCATAGCAGTTCATTGTCTCATTTTAAAGATGTGTTACGATTTTCTTTTTTGATTCAAATTATGAGGAATTACACTTGACACATGAGCAGAATAAGCAAAAAATCACAACAAATATTTGAAGCTCATTTCAATGAAGTACATTCTGGCATTCATGAATAAGATTATAAGAACAGTTGTGGTGTTTAGTAATCTAAGGTATCTTAGCGAAACATAGGGCAAGAAAAGACCCATTGGATCGCTTAGGGTGAAATAGTTAGTAATGTTGGTGAATAAACCAGTTTGTAGAAACAATCTGCTCATGAGCATTTGGTTATTTGTACCAAAATGTAAAACCCAACGAGATAAATACTGGATACATGCTCATGAAAGTGTTGTAATCATTATTAATTGATGTACTGGTGGTACATTCTATTAAACACAGGTGGAAGTATTACTACATCCATCACTTTGGCAATGATTATTCTAAAATTCACAAAGTGGGAATACTCCATCTGTAAAAAATCTGCCGATATTTGAAGTCATTTGTACTATGTGCTAACTATGAACTGGTCTATTAAGCGTTCTTATCTTACCTATTTGAATGAAAGTAGAGGTAGTATGTTGGCAATCAAGGTAGTCCATGCATTTACAAGCTACATATCCTAAGTGCTTTTACTTCAAAATGTAGATACCATTATATGTTTTCAACATCAAGATTAAAAATAATGATGTGATGATAATGATAATGATGATGATAATAATAATTATAATTATAATGATGATGATAATAATGATAATAATGATGATTATCATAACAATAATAATAATAATAATAATAATAATGATAAATAGTATATAATAATAATAATAAGTAGAAAGCAATGGAGAAGAAGAACACCAACACCAACACAAACACAACAATACTATACTACGGTACTACTAATAATAATATCAATAATGAATAATAGATGATAATAATGAGAAGAAGAAGAACACCAACAACAACACAACAACAATAATAATAATAATAATAATGAAAATACTAATAATCGTTTCCACACATTTTCTTTCACAATTGCCATTGCATGACCTTAACTTCACTTTATCTTTAAACACAGAGGAGATTCCTGCAGGGCTACTCGTGGTTACAGATGTGACCTCTGAAGGGGCCCGCATCCAATGGGGAACATATGACGGTGTTACCTTCTATTCAATAACCTTCGATCCTGTTGACGCAGTTATACCTAATAATGGCGCTCTTGTGCCTGACATTAACATTGTCATCCACACACCCGGCAATATCATTAATGTGACTCTGGGGGATTTATTCAATAGCGTTGATGTATTAGCCTTCACACAACTCAGAAGTGGTATGTACAATTTTATGATAATAATTTTTATTACTGGACAAACTACCTGGTATATAGAATTGTAGTCAAACACATCTAGCAGCACTTAAAGAGAAGATTGAGTTTTGGGAAGAGGTGAACAATATTTTGTGAGCATTATGGAAGCATGGAAGAACATCAGATTAAAAATGTTCCTTGAAAAGTATGGCTCTTCAAATGCCTTAATATTCTAAATATGGCATGTAAAAGCATAAAAATCGAGACAGATTTTTACGCCACATGACTGTGTAGTCCCATATACATCTTTCTGTGTACAGTGTTTGAAACTTTACCAAGACTGGGCCAATTATATTTCTTATCATTTTGATGATTCCAGGACCTTGCAGTACACACCAATACTTATATGCTAGATAATCAACCTTTTCTGATTAATTTCACACTGCAATCGCATGACCAGAACTCAACCGAGAAAGTGTAAATAAGAGAAACAGGCCGGCACACATAACTCGGTAGGCTGAAGTCTTAAACTCAAATGCCTGCAGTGGTCACTCATATGGTCAAGACACATTCCAGTAGGGATGAGTCATAATTGTGGTATTTTTCCTATTTGCCATAAAAAGGCATACAGTGGACTTTCTTTATAAGAGAGTGCAAATAAATATATATATACAAGGAATTTGTATTACCTAACTATTTTATCTCGTACTGAATATGCAGTAGTGAATATACGGGATATTACAATAATGATAACTGTTTTGTATAAAGCTTCTTAGGTTGATGCTATACTATGTTATCCATGATGTTAGCTACCTTCTGCTCTTTTTTTTATTTTCTTGTGTCTTCTGTCTCTTAACCCTAATGAGGCCGGGGTATTTGAGATCTTTTTAGTACCGGGGGGGGGGGGGGGGGGCATTATGGCCCCAGCCTCCTAAGATCTCGGCCGTCAAACAGCCGTTCATCGCGAAAATTTGCACTCATGTCAAGTGAAGTGTATAAAATACTATGGTAAATCTAATTTTTTATGGTAATTTATGCATACAAGGTCATAAAATTCAAATTTATACCCATAAATCATATGCACCGGTATATATATATTCATTAGACCATTTGGAATAATAGATACGACAACAAAATTTGAAAGAGCCAGGTTGTTTCTTACCGGTATGTTATCCCTTGTTTTGATAATTTTTTTTAGATTTCATTGTTTTTAAACTAATGTATTTTATTATTTTTATTGTTTTATTTCATTTCGAACTACAATTCAACTATTTTGACTCCAAAACAAACACCTAAACTTTTTACAAGACCCAATAACCGATGTTTTATCTCTTTTTTCGGAAAAATGATATTTCCATATGTTTTGTACGCAAATCACGAAAATGAGCGATTTTCAGGCTATTACGCAAATACAAAAGGTCACAGGACTTTGTTAATGTGAGTTCGATTTTCAAAAAAGTTGTTTTAAAAGATGCGCAAGACAAGAAAGAAAAAAATCTGTGAGCGGCGGGGCGCCATCCGTATGCGTTCCCAAACAATCAGAAAAAAACCTCATTAGGGTTAATGTTACATCTAGTATACTTCGTAAGACCTCATTTCTGTCACCTCAAATCCTTCCTTCTTCCTCAGAGGACGCAGGCCAAGTAGCACTGGTCGTATCACTGTGTTGTACAACTTGACCTTTAGTTTCACAGGCATTTGTTTGCCCCTGATGACTCTAGAGATCTCCCTCCACTTGCTTCGAGCAGATTCAACTCTAACCACTTAAACATACGTATTGCGTGCGTTGAAGGGCTGCATGATCGAGCAGCGAAATTGTATTCGCTTTTTTGTACAGATTTACCGCGTATTGCCAGTTGCCTATTCAGGGTAAAAATTCCTAATTCTCATTTTCAAATGTTGGCAGGTATGCTTATATTGTCAGAAAATTGTTTGAATTCAATGTTACAAAATTTTTGCACTCGGCTACTGTTTTTCCTTTCCCTCTTTGTGGCATATTTGTGTACAAGTACAAACGAAAACCCTAAACAAACCAAAAAAGAATGGTGCTTCCTATGTGAACAGACCTTACATATAATTGTTGCTGTTAATCATTGTTTCATTCAGGGCCTGGATCGCCAATAGGTCCGTTAAACATCTCCGGCTCCGTCCTCACGGCCAACATTACATGGATATCCCCAGCAAGCCCTCATGATGGCTTCGAGGTATACATTACAAATTTGGATTTGCCTAGCGGGGAGCGCATTCTCAAAGAGACATTGTCCAACAACCCTGGGTTCTACATTGTGACAGGTCTTATTCCAGGAACAACCTTCGAAATCGAGGTTGGGACATACCTTGATCCTGTGGGAATGTTCCCATTGCAGAGGAGTGAACAGAGTATAAATCTGCGTAATAATATCACGACAGGTAAGGCCTTACCATTCATCTCTTTTCCATTTTTATGTTTGTGCTGTGTCATCCAGTTTGTCCCATTCAATTCACTCCACACATATATGAGATGCCAACTTTGGAAAAATGTAATCAGAAGGATAATCCAAGTGAGCGTAGTGAACGAGCTCGCGAGAACAGGTGGGGTCCAGGGGTCCGCTGTAGGGGCCGTGGTGGGATCAAGGAGCAAAGCCCTGCAGGAGACCAGGGGGCAGCACCCTCTGAAGTCCAGGGTTTCTGCAATTTCATATTAGCTAATTCTACTGATACTTTTCATACCCTTTTAAAATTAAAATAGTAAAAAGAAAGAAACACATGTAGACAGATTTTACCCACCTCTCTGACTGCTATTTATGTTTGCTTCTCCTTTAAAAGCAGACATGTTCAGAGCATTGTATGTTGCTTGCTTTGCTCTTCTCACCATGTCTTTGCAGTAGTTTGGTAACAAGGAGCACTTTGGGACAATTTCTCAACGAAGATGCTCAGGTTGGGTCGAAAGTCTGTCTCGTTTTTACGGACCAGACTGAAAGCCCTGAAAGACCAGACATGAAGCATTTGAGTGAGGGATTACTAAGATCCCCTTCATCACTTTACTCAAAGTAGGAAACCTCTTGCCTCAACTAGCATCTGCAATCTGTGATATTGTGTTCCACTGCTTATCCATTCTAACTGTATCAGTTACAAGTGTATAGACATGGAGCTGTCAGCCTGATACAGTGCAAATTCACTGTGCAGCTGATCAACATCACAATCTCCCAACAGACGGAAATTTGTCAAGAAAAAAAGGTCAAAATCTAGTACCTCAGCATGCTTTGCTAATGCATCCTCCAAAGGCCATGTTTTCAAGATGTAATCACAAGCGTTCACATGGAAAGTGCGAACTGCACTGTAGAAACTTTGAATGTTGGATTCACTCAGAGAAAATGTAGACTGCTCTAGAGACTTCTCTGGTGCCTCAAATAGAGCTCAGAATCCTTGCCTATCATGAGTGCTTCATCATACTTCTGAAGTTCTGGGGGGCGTTTCACAAAACCTGTCATCAGTGATAAATGACAGTTTTTGTTATAAGCTACTGAAATCCTTGCTTCTGATTGGTTGTCAGCAGATTTGTCACTGATTTTTGTCATTTGTCATTGAAAAAAGGCTTTGTGAAATGGGCACCTGATGATGTTCTCTTTCTTTGTATTGTATAAGAGCTACTGACGAAACTGATGCTGGTTTTACAAACTTGAGATAGATCTTTTTCAGTTGTCTATTGAGTTCTCTGTTAAGAAGATGGATGCAAGTTTCTTTCCTTTGAAGCAAAAGGTTTCTCTTCTCAAACAACCTTTTTGCATAGCGTAGAAAGAAACTAAGAGTTTTGTCTGAGGTGACAAAAATAGTCTGTTTTACTCGTTTATCTCTAGATTCTTGCTTATTATGACTTGACGAAGTTGCAGACTGACTTGTATACTTGCATTTACCATCTGTACTAGAGTTAGGATTAGATACCTTCCGCTTGACACAAGCACTTGAAGGTTCCCACTTTTAGGTTGACACTTATGATAATAATCATAATAATACATTTTATATAGCACATTTCAGAACTGTCAAAACTCTCAATGCGCTTTACATCCAAAATAATACCTTATTCTACACTTTAAAAATACAAAAAATATCAATACCTTATTCTACACTTAAGATACAAAACAATATTAAACAACAAAAATAGTTATATGAAATTAATCTACGAAACGTGATCTAATTGAATGCATCATTGAAAAGATATGTTTTTAGTTGTTTCTTGAAGAGTTCAGGGTTATTCTGAGAACGAAGAGCACTTGGTAGAGAGTTCCAAAGGGTTGGGCTGCTTTAAGCAAAGGACCTTTCACGGTACGTCTTTGTTCTCTGTCGTGGTACTTGCAGAAGTTGTTGGGTGGAGTACCTAAGTGATCTTAAAGGGTTATATGAGGATACTAGTTCAGAAGTTAGGTGAGGAGCGAGACCGTGGACGCCATTGAAGGTGAGAAGTAGGACTTTGAAGTTGATTCGGGGTTTAATGGGCAGCCAGTGAAGTTCTTTGAGGATGGGCGTGGTGTTGTTGCGCTTCTTGGATCTGGAAACAAGTCTTGCTGCTGAATTCTGAATTCTTCGGAGTTTACTTACATCTTTATCTGGGACTCCATGCAGGAGGCTGTTACAGTTATCGAGAATGGAAGACACAAAAGCATGTACGAGGATCTCGTTCACGTTCTTGTTCAAGTAGGGCCGAATCTTCCCAATACGTCTTTGTGCTAGTGAAGCCTTGCGACAAACCATGTTGATGTGCCCACGCATGTTCACATTCTTGTCGAAGATGACACCCAAATCATGAACAGAGGGCGAAGGCAGGATCTGGGGGGTGTTTCACAAAGACCTAAATTTGACCTTATCTTTAAGTTGGACTTAACAATTATAGAAAGCCATTAGCATCCTTGAAAATATTTTGTAAAATTTATTTTAAAAGGCATAAAATGTTCATTCATATTTTCTATTATCATGGGAGATTTCATGTTCTTGATGTGGAATTTAAAAAAAAAGTCTAAAATACTTAAATTTTTGCTTTTGAATATATTTCACTATAAAGCTACAGATGGCTTTCCATAATATTTAAGTCCAAAATAGAGTTAAGTTCGACTAGAATCTTTGTGAAAGACCCCCCTGGCCAATGAGTGACGTCAAAGGGAGAAATTCCCGAGATGGTCTGAAGAGAGAGAAGAGACATGAAGTACTTGATGATGAGCTGTTTCAAATCCTGTAGCAAAAGCTGAACTTATCTTGAATTCTCCTTTGCCTGATGTAGTGGCAGTTCGCCCAGCAGAAAGGAACTGCTTTCGTTTAACTTGAAATTCATTGAATCAATTCAAACCAAACTTGGCTCAAGTATCATGTATGAGTATGCAAGGATGAAGGGATTTTGGGTGTAAGAGGTCAAAAGTGAAAGATTACAGGGTCATGAAAGTGTTAATAAAACGTCTTATTCCACAGATAACTCAACCAAATTTGGACCTATGTTGGCCAAACTGGGCTCAAGTATGTACAAGCATGAACTGATTAAATGAAAAGTTTGAGTTCGTAAAGTCAGCTGTTAAATGTCACAGGATCATTTACCACTGAACATACACTTGCATACAGGGGGAGACAAGCTAGAGACGCAGTTGCATTCATCTGATTACAAAATCAATGACTATTTCAAGCTATTTTTGCTTTGAACTCAACAACCTGTAACTGCTATGCATCACTGTAGGGAGACAAGTGATCAGATTTTGGTTGTATCAGGTCAAGGGTTCATACAGAACAATTGACATGCAAGTATAGGTTTTTTGTTCTCATGATATTTCAAGAATAATTCAAGCTATGAATTTAACTAAATTTAGTGGAGGTATATTGGAGACAAAGTCACACATGTCTTGCATTTTTTTGTTATGAAAATGTGGTGATGTGAAATCGAGGTGCCATGGTATAGTTGTTCATTCACTTGACTAGCAGTCCGAGGGTTGTGAGTTTGAACCAGGGGCCCATTTCATTAAACTGGCCATCTATAACTACTGCCAAATTTCTATGACAAATTTGCTTTCAGCCAATCAGATGCCATGATTTCGGTAGCTTAATATAACAGTAGCTTGTAACTTGTTATTGATTTCAAGTTGTATGAAACAGGGCCCGGACACTTACGTCTTTTTGACAAGAATTAACCCACATTAGCCACTCCCCACCCAGGTGTTACATGTATTAAATGGGTACCTGATAGAATTTAATCCTTGAAATGCACTGTGCACCTATTGCGGCTGCTAGAGCTAAATTAAGCCAGGTTAAGATTATCCAAACTCTTTTAGAAGTGCAAAGGGATATTTTTATTTTTTATATTTTAACGTATTATGTACTATACAAGAACCTTTTATTATTATGATTATTATCATTATTATATGTATTATTATTAATATGCATACTATTATTATAATCATTATTAATATTATTTCAACTTTTTTTATTACTTTCATTATTATGATTAATACTATTACAATTATAACCATTATAATTATTATGAATGTTAAAAAAACCAAAACAAACATTATTATTGTTATTATCGTTAATATTATTATTATTATATGTTCCATTACTTGACATTTGATCAGATGCCCCTGAACCTGAGGAGATTTTTCTTGTTGACTGCGGTACAGACTACATCCAGGTGACGTGGGGAGTGTCATCCTATACCTATGATCATTCGATCGAACCTACTCATGAGGGAACAGAAATGGACCTAGACAGGGTCAATGGTCTTGTTACCTATCGTGGTTTGCAGCCAGGCACTCAGTACACTATCTTCATTACGAACAGCTCCGCGGGTGTGTCTTTGAATGTGTCCTCATTCACGGGTATGTGTTCTGCATTCTAGTTCTGTGAAGGTTGTGGTTCTAAAGTACTCATGGGCAGAATTCCTTCTGTTTCCCTACCCCATTTTCACTTTATTTTTTTATTTTGGGAGAATTTATTTCTTTTCCCCAACACAGGGATAATCTTTTTTTTCTCCAACCCCTTCTCATTTCTACATTACTTTTACATTGTGCATATGCATCTGCTTTGGCATGTAGGCTTACATGACTGGTATGTTGTTCCAACCAGGGCTTGTAGTCAATTCAGTACTTCAATTAAGTCAGTATTATACTTAGCATTTTACGTAGCTAAGTAATTAGTCTTAACTCTTATTCAGATCATATCTAAGCAGTTTACTTTAGCAAGCCGACTGTAAGGTAAAATATCTACGTCACATTCTCAATCCAAAATATTGTGTAATTAATGTGATGCATTGAATGTGCGCAGCAAGGGATGACTCCATATGAAAACCAAAAGCCTGCCAATCAATGCTTCCAAAATAATTGGCTTAAGTCTGTTTGGGAGCTGTCATAAAACTTATTAGGGTAAAATACTAGCCTAAAATTTCAACTTAAGATCAATGTTGGCTGGGTATTTTATCTGAACTGAAAAACTGAGTTAAATACTCATTTTTCTAACACAAGTATTGACTTAAATACCGGCCCAGTCCATTATGAGATGCATTCCCTGATGTCTGTTATTTAAAGGCCAAGTCCACTCCAAAAATATCTTATTTCCAACCGAAGCAGAAAAATCAGACAAACCAATCAAAAAATGTTTGAGCAAAATCGGATAACTAATATGAAAGTTAAGAATTTTTTAATGACAGGAAAAACTTTGACAATCCCAAGACAAATTGGCAACTCACTCATACGTCTATGACGTCATTGCCTCACTATCTCACTATATTGATAATATAAATTTTCCATTTTCCCCCTAAAAATCTTATTTCCTTACATCAGCATCCAAGTTTTATTGATAGTTATATGTTTTTGTGTGGATACATCATGACAAATGTGTGAAATTTGATAAACTATTTATGTAAAAATCAGTAATTATGAATATACAATATTCAGAAAATAGTATCGATTCTTCAAAGTTCATAAATGATTTTGTGAAATGTCATGCACGCAATACGATACTAATAACATAACCTGGGCAAAGACATGGGGAAATCAAGTTTTGGGGGATAAGTAAGGGAAATTAATTGAGATAAAAATATATAAAGCAATTAATTAATAGTGAGGAAATGACGTCACAAACTGATAACCAAATTGGCAATTTGTGTAGTGATTTCCATTGTTCGATAGTTATCATACTTTTTCAAAAATTCATAACTGCCTTATTTAGTTGTCCAATTTTGTTTGCTCTGTTTCTCTCGTTTTTCTGCATATATTATAAGCAAATTATTTTTGGAGTGGACTTAGCCTTTAAGAAACTGAGGCCTGTTTCTCGAAACCAAGGACAAGACAGTTCAAACTTTATCCGCCAACAATGGAGATGTCTCTGATCTTCCTAAACCATTTCACAAAGAGCTTGCTAGCTAGAAATCTTGTGAAATTGATACTTACGGTTGTAAGAGGAGCAAAGACATAGCCTTGGTCCTAATTCCACCTAATTAAAAAAAAAGTACTTGGTGGTAGGGTCAATTGTTTGAATCCTACACATAGTTTCTCCATGTTCACAAATTAATGTTTTTTGTATGGAGTTGCCTGTTAAACATCCAAAGAAAAAAAAATGATTACTATGTCCTTACCCATGTATTTTGCAAGGGCTGCACGCCAACCTCCTTTGTCTTTTGCTTGTGCTTATTTCAACACGTTCCAAGCCATGAGATATGAAATTTTACTTCATGGTCATCTGGGAACTTTCGCAAACCACAAGATATTAAAAATGTACTGCATGGTAATTTTTACTCTTGCTCAAAGCATTCAAGATGTCCGGAGTTTTTTGCTAGCTCAAAACCTGTTATTCAAAATATAATTAATGATATTGACGGGCTCATTTTTATTCCCCCGCCAACTGAAGGTTGGGCCAGAGGCATTGTGTTTTGGGGTTAATAACTATGAAGAAACTAAAGGATTGATCTCTGACACGGCACCATTGTAACGTCCTTTGGCAATTACATTAGTCTACATTTGCTACTCAATACCTAGGAGAAAAATGGGGACCTGGTAGGATGACAAAAACCTTTGTGATAGAAATTGACATATGCTCTCCAGTACCATATGGTATGAATACTCCCCAGGAAATGGAAATTGTGGACACTCCATGTGCGAATGAATCAATAACTTGGGTAATAATAATATCTGTAGAGTTCTTACAGATGGCATTCTGTCCACAATGGACTTTGTGGCAGATTAGCCTTGTGCTAAACAAGTTATCTGATACAGTCTATTCCTACTACTACTTCTACCATATTAAGCACATTATATATCCAGATTCATTAGTATCATTATATCCCCCTCAACGTCTATATTTCATGTTATTATATCCTCCATATATTTTCCTTTGGAAAAATTGATGCTTTATGCAACCTCATTTCTTTTGTTCATTTTCCTTTTTATTTCCTGGTTCACCCAAACAGTTCCACTACCACCAAATGGCTTGGCTATGTTGTCCGCCACCTATGACCAGATAGTGTTGTCGTGGGGTGAGAGCTCTGGTCAGGACATAGAGTACGAGATTGTTGCAACGTCTAAAGCATGTGGAGGGATCTCTCTCCCGGTGATTAACACTAGTGATCTTAACATAACGCTGACGGATCTAAGGATTGCTACAAACTTTACGATCAGTGTTGTGGCGGTGGCCAATGAGGAGAAGAAGAGTGACCCTGCTGTTATCACAGTACCTACAGGTAGGTACATAGAGTACTAGGCTTATAGCTGTTTGGTCCACAAGTTGTTCGTCTACTTCCCAATTGGTCTATTCCCATATAGTATTCAAATATACAGGTCTTGAGAGGTTCTGGTTAAAACTATGCGCAAGAGGTGTCTCCAATTGTACGTTTGGAGTCACCGAGGCCCATAGTTTTAACCAGTACCTTGAATAGAAGGCATGGTATATTTGTTTTATATCCTGCATCAAAAATTTATTTGAAAAAAATAATACAAATAAAAAAATAATAAAAAAATTGGGCAAAAAAAAAAAGAATTTAGAATTTTTTAAAATGTCAATTTAAATCAAAAAAGATTTAAAATATTTAGTTTTCATTAAATTAAGAATTGAAAGAAAAAAAAATTAATTAAAAAAAAATAAATCACATTTTGTTCAACTCCCAAATAGTACTCTCATATAGTATTTTTTCAGAGCAACCTTAAAGTACATGAAATATTTCTGGTCACGTGACGAGCTCTCAACCAATCAAAAGCCAATAAATTTTTGATGCATGATATAATCTACACCAAGCCAGTCTACTATCCACATGGTCCAATAATCATTTTGTCTACTTATCATTTTGTCTAGGCTAATAGTAATTTGGTCTTATAACTATTTGATCTTATCTCCAATAAGTCTACTACCAACCTAGTCTTATCTTATTGGAGATTAGACCAAATGGATATCAGACCAAATGACTATTATAGTAAGGTGGCTTAGTGAAATTACCGTTACTTGCCGAATAAAAGCACCATTTTGGTACAGGGCTTCATTAGGACCTGCTGAATGATGGTAGGGTAGGAGCCCCTGGCATAGCTATTCATATATGTGTGACTGGGGACCCCATGGCGTTTGTACAACAAAAACTCAATGGTATATTACCTTATAAATTATTTGTGGACTACAAGGCGACACCCCCGCCCCACACCCTTATTATCCCCTCGCCGGCGATGCTAGCTGGCGTTCGTGCGTAACAAATTTGGTTTCCGATCGATAACTTCAGTAATGATTGACGGATTTTAATGAAATTTGATATGAAGGTACATGATATCAAAAGACAGGCTAAGTTCGATTGTAGAGTACGTAGGTCAAAGGTCAAAGGTCATAGCTCATTAAACATGCGAACAAATACACATCCGGTTTCCGTTCTATAATTCTAGTAATGTTTGAAGGATTTTAATGAAATTTGATATGAAGGTTTATGGTATCAAAACACAGCCTAAGTTCGATTTCAGAGTATGTAGGTCAAAGGTCATAGCTCATTAAATATGCAAATCTGGTTTCCATTCGATAACTTGAGTAATGTTTGACAAATTTTAATGAAATTTGATATGAAGGTACATGGTATCAAAACACAGCCTAAGTTCAATTTCTGAGTATGTAGGTCAAAGTTCATAGCTCATTAAATATGCAAAAACACCTAATTATATATGTGAAAATGTGGTTAACTTCCTTGCCTAGTAATATAATAGTATAGTCCAATGGAGGTAACTTGTTCTGATGTATATAGGCCATTTGTACCCTGCGAGGGGATGCTACGCTTTGCATTGACTTGTATGATGTTCTTGCCGTGGGGCTCCTACCCTAATATCGTTCAGTATGTCCTATGGAAGCCCTGTACCAAAAATGGCATCTGTACAACAACAATTCAATGTTATAAAATTATTTGGGGGCTCCAAAGAGACGCCCCCGCCCCCACACCCTTAGATTGAAATTTTTGCCGGGGGCTCCTAGCCTAATATCGTTTAGTACATGTAGATCCTAAGGAAGCCATGTACCAAAAATGGTGCTTTTATCCAGCAAGTAACGATAATTGATAGATTTGACGCTAAGCCACCTGACTATTAATTAGCCTAAATGGTCAATTTAGTCAAATGGCAATTCACCCTTAGAGTACAGTACCTCTGACAATACTCTACTTTGGGCTCACACAGATGCATGGCACAAACATGTGTCATGTAAGTTACGTGCTTGCTGGCGTTAGATCGTCTGGTTGGGGCCAGAAGGGTGTTTACTCATATTCTTTGATACAGAGTTAACGCCCTCTTGGCTCTGAACAGTTGATATACTTTCCAAGGTTTACACAAAATGATAATTACACAAATTCTTGTGAAGCCTATATATCCGACATGAAGTTATTCTCTCTCTCCCTCATAATCATCATCTCCATCATTTATTAACATCAGCATTTTCCCTCTTGCGAGGGGTTAATGACTTTCGCCACATGATGATACTCCCTCCCTCCACTTCTCCTTGTCTTCAGCATTTAGACCAACCTTACTGCTGCTTTCTTTTTTCACCATATCTTTCCATGCAATCTTCAGTCTTCCTTTCCCTCTAACACCATCCAGTTCCAGCTCCCATGCTCCTTTCACAAGTTCATCATCTTCCCTTCTCAATTACACATGATCCATTTATCTCAATCCACTTCTCTTTACCACTTCCAGACCTATCCTTTCCATGAGCTCCCTTGTGTTTCTTTCTATCAGATAGTTTCACACCACACATCTTCCATGTCATGGCTTTCTCTGTCCTCCTTAAGATAATTTCTTCTACTGTCTTAACATTCTCTTTGTCTTTTATTCAGATTCCACTGGAGTTGTGGATGGCAGGTTGACCGTAATACCCAGCAAAGATATTGGAGACCAACAAGAAGTATTGGTACTTTATTTGTTTGACACTGAGTTTACATTTACATCCCTGTCCATCTCAACAAGTGGATCTTGTGAAGATTCAAGCTTCATAACATGGAATTTAACAAGGGGAATAATTGTAGGCTTTAATGTGACTTCTCCCTTCGGGCATCCATTCACAGAGTACAGGACAGGTACGAAAAACATCAATTTTTTTCTTGCTCAATTTTAAAAAATTCTGTTATAAGTTGATTGTTAATTTTCTAATTGGCTATTCATGTGCAGTATGAGTGTTTTGTCAATTTATTTTTGAAATGCCAATATCCATGTATCAAACACTGTATATAACGATATGTGGTACATTTTTACAATAATGGTAATGAGTATATAAATCTTATACTAGTCCATGGCAGATTTATTTCTGTCGTATTCTCTTATAATTGTTTAACTGATCTGAAAAGGTTTGAGTAGCTTAGTGAAATGTAGTGTTGCAAACAGACTCATCTTCACTGTTGAAAATCATAATGCAATCACACAGAGGTAGAGAACCACATTGTTAGGATATGAAGCTGGTAAATGTATATACCATCAGGCGTAATGTTAGCTGAACTCTCATCAAATGTGTAAAAAAGAACCTCTAATTAACAAGCTATTAAATGCATGTTGCGTTCCTTGGGCCCGTTTCATAAAAAATTTAATTTACGACTACCGTATAACAAATTTGATATCTATAACAAATCTAATTACGACTATGGCAACCTGTTATAGAAGTGAAAATCTGTTTCATAAAACTAATAACAAGATGATATAGTCAATAACAAAGTCATTGTTAAACAAACAAGCATTACAGTACAGTTTATTTTTTCAAATATCAAATTGCTCTATGTAGGTGAATGAAATCAACACACTTAAAATCAATAATTTGTTCATGGAAGATTTTTTAGAGATTTTCCATTTTTCTTGTTTTTTCAATATCTTTTCTTCAATTATACACAAACCAATCATCAGTTGTATTCTATGTAATTTGCTCCCCGCTCAGATCCTCAGATCCTTAACAGTGTATCCCTTTCGAAAACGATGGAAACGTCAACTCAGTTCAGTTGGACTGACCCGTCCACAGGCAGCTATGATGGTGTTATATTAGTCGTGACTTCCCTTCAAGATCAAGAATACTCTCCTCCAGGACAGCAGTTGAGAACGTTCAATCCATTAGTCCAATACACCTTAGAAGCCCTGAAACCCTCAACCAGTTACAACGTCCGTGTGAAGGCCCTCAGCAATGCCACGGCTAGATTTGAAGAACAATTTGGCCCTGAAGAGAGGATCAGCTTTACTACACGTACGTTATATAAGCTCATGTTCGGTTGGGAAGTAATGATTTTTTTTATTATTTTGTAAATTGGATTTGATTGATTTTACATACTTTATTGATTCAAAAATCTTCTCAGTCATAAAACTGAATTGTGATATCATTATTTTTTTTACAATAACTGACATCCGAAGAAAAAAATACATACCGGTACATACTTATGAGTAGTAAATGTAAATGAATACAGTTAATATTCAACATACTTTTGAACTGATTTAGATTACTTTAACCCTTTGAGAGCGAGCCCGCGCACAGCGATTGTTTCCCCTGTGACGGAGCGATTTCGGTTACATCGCCAGTAATGGAAAATTTGGCGGTGCTTTCTACTTTCGCCTACCATTGCGCCTCATTCAGTCATTTTCGTGATTTTTAGTAAATGTAAACATGAAAGATCAGACTTTTTTCTTTCTAAAAATATAAGTTTTGTTCTTCAATACGAAAAATAAGGTCTGTTATTTTTGAGGGAAATTGCGGTCTTATTTTGCTGAAGCTTCACGTCTTTCCTTTTCAATACACTCACAATACAAAATGCGCAAGCACCTCCGCACGCGCAGATCGGTCGATACCTCCATTCATTCCCCTTTTGTCAATGACAATGATTGTCTTCTGCATCCTCTTCTTTCAAAACAGTAATCTTCCAGAGTCGATACTTCTTTACATTCGTTTGTTCCTCTAAGGGTAGGGTCCTGAGATAAGCTGAGATAAGCGTTTCATAAAAGAGGAGGTCCATACATGAATGATTCGCTAAATTGGTCAAGTTGATGAAATGAAAAGGCACTGGTAATCATAGGGGAGAAGAATTACCAACTCCTTTTATCAAAGCATACTTTTTTTACTTACACAGTTTAGAGTAAGGTCGGTTATTTGTAGCCAAGTGAAACACGGCGAATCGCAAATTTAATTTAAAAAGAATAGGTCTTCATGACTAGGACTACTATAGGCCTAATAATATTATTATATGAATAACTACAATACATCTATCGAAATGTGGGAAAAAACGCCCTCTCATATTGACCAGCAAAAATCATCCAATCACTGATGGAAAATCGCCATGTAATCATCTTCACCAACAAAACCAATAATCCAAAGCCTTGAATCAAGGCAAGAATGTAGAACGGACGCGCACGTACGCGTCCGTCTCCAGCTGTACGGTTATTTCGATCCGAACACTAACTTAGGGTTAAGTTGAAATGATATCACCTTTTTTTCGATTTTTTTCCACGTAACTTTATTATTTTTTTAATAGATGAGATGAATGAATATATCTAAAGAATACTTCAAAGAACTTTAGCACATAATATCTAATAATAAGCTGGAAAACTTTGTCAATAAATTAGGGATACATCTCGGCTTCTGTAGAAGCCCGTCGTCACAGACTTAACAACTCGCTCGGCTTCTGTAGAAGCCCGTCGTCTCCAAAGTGTTAATACAATATGAGCATCTTTGGATGAAGTATTAAAGTTGATATTCTAAGACAATCCGAAATATTGAGATAATTACATGAATAGAAAGCTTTTAACCCCCAGAATAACACTAAATGGTGTCCAACTGACAAAAACAAGTTTAGAATGGTGAATTTATGCGAGTAAACTCTACCAAAATATCTAAGTCTGAAACCCGGAAATGCATGTAGAGTCGGGCCTGTATCCGTGACGTCACGAACGAGACTCATGGGCTTAGTGAGAGTGGATGGCAGTGATATCCCTACGTAAATGCTATCCTGTCAGAGCTTAGATTTGTTGTTGTTAATGAGTATATTTGATGGATTTTCTGTTTTCATTGGAATGAAGAATAACGAAGCAACATTTTCCAGTCGCTGATTTCTTTTTATATCCTCATATTCACCTATTTGGTAGAGATTTAAGACGAATTTACTGCTTGGGAAACAAAGTTAAATCATGCACGTATGAATAGGCGGATGCATTATCTTGTCATCAAATAAGGTACAGGAGCAGTTTTGTCAAACGAATAGGACTAGAACCATGATAGTACTTATCATAGATGTGTGTGACTGCCTCAAAAAAGGATACAGTACTAGTTAAACATTTTATGTTGTAAAATATCTAACTTGAATGAGATCATGCAAGCGATCTTCCTCTATAATATGTTGACAACGTCTAATTAGTGATCGAACGATATTCATCCGCGAGTGCTGCGGCTTTTGCACAAAAGAGCAGAATCAGGATGTAAGACCAGGCCGCTGCTGTAGGCACGGCTTGCTTGTGGTGGAACGTACATGCGCTAGTTATATGTTTATCAGTAATTGCAAGAGAATGAAAGCGACATTACCAGCTAAAAAAACAACTAACAAAGACCTGCTCCTCAGTGTCTACTGGTGTCAAAATCGGTAGATCGCCCAATGCACATCATGGAAGAAGATGAAGGATCTTAATTCAGGACCAAGGAATTAGGCGAAAGACATGGGGAAAGCGGGAAGAAGAAACCATCGGGAGATCGCTGTATGGTAATGAACTGTGGGTCCATTTACCAGACAACTATACTATAACTATGTATTAAACTTTTCAGCCTTTGAAACAAAATAAGCAGAAAATCATATCTCTCTGCACATGGTTTTTATGGAACATCCGGGTACGTGAATATACTCTTTCAAGGACGTGATGTCATATGTAGTAGACCAGCGCCGTGACTGATTTTCTATGCAAAGAGAGGCAGATATTTTCGACAATTCAATCAAGGATTTAGAGTAGCCAGAATTTTTTTGTGATATACTTTGTAATTGAAAAACTTATAAATAACACATGCTTGCCCTAGGTACCAAATTAAGGGACATTTATTTGCTTAGAATATCAGCTTTAATGGCAACATATCATATGACACAGATTCCAGGTAACAAAGACAAGGTCAGAGGTCATGACGATTCATGATGAGTCAATATTCACTTAAAAATGCTGATAATATTCAGAAGATTTCATTTTTGGGGGGCCTGCTAATATGCCACCCTGCCTATAAATAACGTCTCAATCTCAATTTTTATGCCTCCGTTACGAAGTAGCCGGAGGCATTATGTTTTCGGGTTGTCCGTCCGTCCGTATGTCCATACGTCCCGTTCTCGTGATCGCGTTATCTGAAGAACCGATTGATGGATTCCTGCCAAACTTTGGTCATGTATGTATCTTGCAGAGCCGATGAACTGATTAGATTTTGGGGTCACGAGGTCAAAGGTCACAGGGCTCATTATGTATGCAAAAATAGCTCGTGATCGCGTTATCTGAAGAACCGATTGATGGATTCCTGCCAAACTTAGGTCATGTATGTATCTTGCAGAGACGATGAACTGATTAGATTTTGGGGTCACGAGGTCAAAGGTCAAAGGTCACAGGGCTCATTATGTATGCTGAAACAGCTCGTGATCGCGTTATCTCAAGAACCGATTGATGGATTCCTGCCAAACTTAGGTCATGTATGTTACTTGCAGAGCCAATGAACTGATTAAATTTTGGGGTCATGAGGTCAAGGTCAAAGGTCATGCGGCTCATTATGCATGCAAAAATAGCTTGTGATCGCATTATCATTAGAACAGATTGATGGATTCCTCCCAAACTTAGATCATGTATGTATCTTGCAGAGCCAATGAACTGAGTAGATTCTTGGGTCATGAGGTCAAAGGTCAAAGGTCATGGGCTCATTATGTATGCAAAAATAGCTTGTGAACGCATTCTCATTAGAACTGACAGATGGATTACTATTTAACTCGGGACATCTTGCAGAGCCAATGAACTGAGTAGATGTTAGGGTCATGTGGTCAAAGATCAAAGGGTCATATATGTATATGAGAAATTGCTTGTAATCACGATATTCTGAGAACCTGTTAATGGATTACAATTGAACTTGAATTTGAACAATTTCTTCTGTTTTGGTTTGTAAAATTGCTCTATGACGGAGGCATCATTTCGACTGCGCGCAGTCGAAGTTCCATCTAGTTGATCATATCAAATTGCATAATGCAGGCGAGACCGCTGAGAGCGTTTCCCTCGTGAAGTCACATTGATTGGAAAAGAAGACTCTTGGATTATAGTTCTTTTGTTAATCTTTTGCATTTCCCAACACCCATGTGACTCTCTTCAAACTTTAATGTCATTTTGTATTGACTCTTTTGTTTTCTCTTTTCTCTTTTGTCTTTGCTAAATAAATGATAGTAAATATTGATGATGATAGTAATGATAATAATAATAATAAGGATAACGATATTGATGATGATAATAATGAAGATAACAAAAATAATGATAAAAGAAGATACATTGTGATGTAAAATTTTTGATTTGGCAATACTATATACATGTTACTTTCAAAATGTTGTTCATTGTTGATTTCTTAGTGTCTCTACCAGCTTCTGAAGTATTCATTTTGGAGATGGGTAACTCTTCAGTGGAATTAATCCATGGGGGCAATGGCAGTTCATTCAACTTTAGCATCAACCCAGACCATGGTGTAATCGTACCAGGCGACAACAACAGGGTAGCCTTCACCAATCTCATGCCAGGAACCGTCTATAACGTTTCAATCTACGTCGTCGATGAAGATCTCGAGAGTTCATTTCTGCTCAGATTGCGTAAGTCACTTCCCCATTCTTGCTGGCTCCTTCCATCCAATAAAGTCACTTGTCAGCATCTGATGTCGCATATCAGATTGGGTTCTTCTTTCTGCTGGCAATGGCGGTACCAGTAAAGGCTCGTTCTGATATGAAATGGCAAAAGCATGGCAGTTTTTTTTTGTGATGACGTCAAATCGTAGACTCTTTACATTTCTATATCTTATAATAATAATCTATGAACACATGTAAAAGACATCAAAATTTGATGTTTGGATATAATTTTAATTGAATATATAATTTGAATATTAGGAGATTGATTTGTATTTTCCCTCATTATATTTGTTTCTATCGCACATCTCAAACTGACCGCTTAGTTTTATTTCCCAAAATCTTTCTGAAGTGCAACATAGTAACTATTATTCAATTGCAATTTCTGCTATTCACTTTTCTTTTTTGCTCCACTTAGACAGACATGCCAGTGACACCTGAGATAACATATTGCAATTTATTGAGCTTAAGTTTATACATTGTCATCAATAAGTTGTTGTTTTTGTCTTTTTAAAGTCTGATTATGTATAATATTTTAGGCATCCCCTGATGCACTCCCTGGAGTTGGAAGAAAAGACTTACGGGTTATAGAAATGTCACATACCTTTTTTTCTTCCGGGCAACTTCGAGAGGTGCAGCAGGGGAAGCCAATTTTATCCTTTCATACTTTGTATCCTATGTGCCATTCTATTGTACCTTCTATTGTATGTTTGAAATGCCAAATTAATAATAATAATAACACAACGCTCTGTGAATACCTGCAAGTTGCTCGCAGTTGCGATTCATTTTACAAAGAAGCAGCGGCTTTTCTGTGTCTGTTTACCGCGCCATATCTGAACAGGAGCCACCCATTTCCTGTAGGCAACGGGTTATTTTTATAATAGCTAGTTCACTTTTATGAATACATGCCAAAGTCATTCTATTCTGATACTCATCTGCAGCTCCATTAACACCTATGGTAGCTGTCAGGGATACCACAGAAACCACAATAACACTGGACATCGTGGCGGGCCCAGGCGATGCCGAAACGTATGCCATTAGAATCGCATCCACCAACCCAGACTTCTGTTCGTATGAAGATATAAGGAACATTGAATTCTTTAAGAGTGGTGACTACGTCATCGACAACCTCCCACCCTCGCTAATGTATAACATAGAGGTCAGGTCTGAAGTTGCAGCAATTGATGACGTTTGGCTAGAGGCATATAGCCCAGGTGTAAACCTCAGTGCATCTACAGGTATTACTGAAGTCTCTTATTCTAATAACCACTAAATTTTTACCAATCTTCAAAATATATTTTCTTTTGTAAATGTTAGTAGTACAGTCAAACCTGTCTATAGCCACCACCCAAGAGAAACACAAAAAAGTGGTCTTTGTAGACAGGTTCCTTGAGGACATGTTTCAATGAGAAACCATTTTCAAGGGAAACAAAAAATGTGGTTGTTGTAGACAGGTGGTCTTTGTGGACAGGTGGTCACTAAAGCAGGTATGACTGTACCATGTTGCAATACTATACATGTACCGGTAGTCAAAATATGAGCTTCAAACATTACTTTTGTAAAGAAATTCTTTAAAATGAAATACACTCGCAAATAAATAATAGCGTCTTGTGAGTAGACCAATCGACTCACCCGAATAGGGTTTTATTTTCGCAGTTTTATGCTATTCTGTATTTTCTCCATACTCCTTATCTTTTTTTTTTTAGATTGATTGTACCATTTCTGGCTGTACACAAATAATTTTTAGGTTATTGGTACACTTAAGAAAAAAACCCACCTGGTTCCCATTTCATAAAGAACATGTTATCAATATTAAAAAGTGCCACATTTCTATAACAAATCTCCTCACAGCCAATCAAATGCAACAGTTTTGGTAGCTTATAACAGTTAGTGCAACTTGGTTGTGCTAAAAGTTTCATAAAACTGGGTCACGTCACTTAGGGAGAGGTGAATGAATAACACTGCACTGAATAGGAACAAAAGTTTGTTTGTTATATGTTTTTTCTAAAGAAACAACTGCAAAAGAGACAGCTTTAATTTTCTATGTACAACATACATGTACAGACATACAACCCCCCGTCCCCCATCCTACTCCTAAAAATGGGAGATTATACAATTCAATTCAATTTAATTTGTCGTGGCAATTTCTTACAAGCAATGAAATGCATATTGAAACAACAAGAAAAGAACTCAAAATATATGAGTGATATTAAATAAACATAGACATACAGACCCTGGAGTGAAATCACATGTAGCATAATTAGTAACATGAATAAGAGAGATAAGAGAGTTTGAGGCAGGCACAGAATTTGAAAGCACTATTAAGAAAAGCATAAGGAGACAGTGTGGTAGGGGAATTAGGAGAGGAGAGGTGGGGAGAGAAGGGAATGAGCCCGGGGGTCTCAGTCAAATATAAATGCGTGATCAAGAAAAACGCGTATAAAGGGGTGTTTTGGGAGAAATGACACGGTCCGCGCGGTGCCACATTAAGGGGTTTCAAAATGTCCATTTTGGGCCATTTTCAAGAATTTTTGTTTATTTTTTAAAATAGTTCAAAACCCTGCTGTACGCGCCGGTATACGTGTTTAGGGGTATTTTTCCAGCCCTCAAGGCCAGACCGGGAAGAAAAAGGTGTAATAATGCCCATTGGTGAAACTACCAGTCGCCGCCTGCCATTCTTTACACATTCAATAGATCGAGATGGATGCCCACAATACCGACCCAGGGGGTGTTTCATCAACTAGAATTGATTTTGATTTTAAATAACAATTTCAAGGCCGAATCTGTTTTAGCTTAAAACTGATACTTGTGAACTGTTTCATCAAATCAACTTTAGGCCCTTAAAATCGATCCGATCGATTTTACGATCAGTTTCAGGGTTTATAGTGTAAAACCCCACTGACTTACCAAGTCTCACACCTATAGCTGGTCCCTTATATTTTCTTTTGCATAGTAGAATAGTAAATGTTCATTGTACATTGTATATTTTTTGTAAACACTACTTGTATTTTACATAAAATAGATCAAATTTAGAATGTAATTCTTTCTTTCAAAGAAAGGACTTATGATGGCCTTAAACCTAATTGCTTCTCTATTGAAATAAATGTTTACATTGTGAATTTTACATCAGAAGCGCAATTTGATTTAGTTTACATTGTCAACAACTTAAATGGTAATCCCTAGCGACTTCAAAATGCTCAAGTGGTTACAATTTTACAATACTTGTTTAGGAGTTAATTTTTTTGAAACACCCGTTTGAGTGTGAATTTGGGAAAAAAACATGCAAAATCCTCATTTAGGGTGTATTTTGGCTTCAGAAGAAATCCTCATTTAGAGGTGTCTGGAAAACCTGTGGTCACGCATACTTACAGTATTTCTACATGACTGAGTCATGCATTTGTATGACCAGAACTGAACTTTATCTTTGATTGTGTATTAACAGGAGAACCGCCTATTGCCTCTGATGATGTTTGTTTGCCTTTCAGAATTGGTCCCATTAGATGGTTTCACCGTCATCAACAGGAGAGAAGAGAGCGTAAATCTTGCCTGGTTTTCAAACACCACCTCTAATCTCACTCTGACGAGTTGGTCGAGGGATCAGAGTGTGACTGAAACCCTCCTCTCAGAGACAGATTGCTCCTCCCCACGAATAATGGAGATTGACTTGAACCGTACCGGCACTGTGTACATCATAGCATACAGTCCAGACTCCTCGGAAGGGTTCAATTACACCACACGAACAGGTATAATAAGCTATCCTTTATCCCTTCTAGGACAAGGTTTTTTATTAGTGCTGTAATCATGTTTTTCTTCAAATTGGCAATGATTTCTTTTATTGTTTAAAGATAAAAGGAAAGGCAAGAATGTTCATAATACCTTTTATCTCATAATATGATCTTGTGCTCATTATGTTGATTAGCATTACACATGCTATGTATGAGACTTATAGTATAATGTTTCTGAATCACTGACTGAAATATGTTTTAGGACTCTTAATTCTGTTCAAAGCAGTCTTAAAGAACCCCCAAAGTGTTACGCTGAAATAACCCATGTAGATTCTAGGGCTAATGATGCCAAAATGCATATCTTTGTGATCTTAGACCCAGCGGCTGTTATGGATTTGAATGTCACTTCGGCAAACCAAACATCTATTGAAGTTACCGGGAAACTTCCATCTGTTGGGGATGTGGATCGTGTGGAATTGACATTGACATCAACGGAAGATGGGCGATACACTACTCCGGTTGAAACTGCATCAGTGATAGAAGAGGGCTATCTTTTCACCAATCTCCTGCCTAACACCTTGTATTATATTTCTGTAAGGAGTGTTCTCAATTCGACCGATGAGTTTGAGGAGCAAAAGAGTAGACCGTACAACATTACCAAACGAACAGGTAAGCATCCTTAGAGTGACTCAGTATAAACATTGTCTCAGATTCTGAAACAAAATCCTGGAATTAGCTCATGCTCCAATGATAATTATAAACCTTTAGGTCAGTCAGGAACTCCATGACTTTTACAAGCCGATCGCCTGTCTGATTATCAAGATATTTTTGATTGGAAATTGAAACCAAATTTTGCGTTTGCCAAACGGTTTTCATAACACTACAGTCTATTGGGGAAAACGAGTATGGTAAAGCTGGTCACTCAAAGAACTTTACTTTTTTGAGGCACTTCTTGATCATTTTGAAGCACGATTATTTTTAGGGCTTCAATATTACACCATATCACAGACACTGGTAGCACGTATAGGGCTGTGCATCTCAGATTTAACATTGTTAAACGATGCCTTTAAGATTCATGATGTGATGTGGAAGGACATCATACTGTATAGTACCAGTGATATAAGATGATGTTCTCTTGAAACATTCTTTTCTTTCAAGCATAATCTACATGAAGTGGCAAGCTTGGAGCAAGAAAAGCATTGGCTTAGTTTTTTAGTCAAATGAGTATAAAAATGTGTATTATTGAACATTCAGTCAACAGCAATTTTGGTATGAATCTATGAAATTTTGTTTTCCTCCATTCACAGAATGCAAGATTATCTCTTAAGAATATTGTGTATCATCACTTGGCTATCTGTACACATTGGTCCGTATTCATCTACATGTAATTCAGTTAAACCCGACACAGGGTCTTTAACACAGAGACAATTTAGACCACAGACTATTAAACTTCAAATTCAATTTGAGATAAAGGATTAAACTCTGTGAGGGGTTTGCATTTCAGTAGAATATTAGAGATAGTCCAGTTAGCTGCATATTTTATGCATACCTATAAAAACAAAGATTCTCTTGACAACTAGAAAGCTAGCCAGAGGATTGCCGGACATAGCAACGACTATTGTATGCAAAGTGGATTCCATCCATAAAGATGCCATTATTCAAACCTGTGGAATGAAATAACAGTTAACAAGAGGTTATTGAGAGAAGCGAGAGAAACATGCATGCAAGCAGGTGAGTGTTTCACAAAGACTACAATCGACTTTAAATTGGACTATGGCCGTTCATGCCACTGTTTGCTCTCACCATTTACTGGCATTGGTCTCTCAAAGGACATACAAATCATGGTCACAAATCTACAGAATTCACATTTTTTGATAATTCCTTATTGAAGGAACAAATATCATCTAAAGATCATTATGGTGAGAGCAACCAGTGGCATGAATTGCCTGCCATAGTTAAGTTCAACTTAAAGTCTATCTTAGTCTTTGTGAAACATCCCCCCCCCCCACGTCTATTTGGATAGAATATTAATTAATGATTAATTTGTTTCGTTATGCTTTTTCTCCAGATGTTCCTGTTTCACCAATGATATTTGAGATTGATCGCAATGAGACGGCCATCGTGTATAGCATAGGAGCTTTCGATGATTCCGATGTGACACTATCCCCTAACGGGGATTGGATGAGTAGTTACGAAACTGATCATACAGTTTTCATCACTAACTTGCTCCCCGGTCAGCTGTACAATGGTACCATTTCAACCGCCGAAATACTCCCTATCCAATTCAGATTACGTAAGTTTACATACTGTTTGCATTTATTGGGATCTATTGTGTTTTGTTAGTGATATATTTAAATATAACTTGATTCAATAACTGGTATAAGCTACTGAAATCGTGGCATTTGATTTGATTTCATTTGTTATGTTGACAAGTTTTATAATGTTATAAATGACTTCCCTGATGCATACAAATACCATATAAATTATGTTCGGTATTATGGTTGTGTTTTAGTTTGTAATGTCTTGTTTACGTCTTGCATTTTGTTATATTGTGAATTTTGATGATTGTATTTTCCACATTTGTCATTTATGTCATGGGTCCACCCACTTCCCTCAAGTCTTCAGCTTTATCGGTGCTAATGATCCAGTACAATTCTCAATGTATATATATCGTATGTGATTGTTTTATCAAATAATAAATTGAATTGAATTGAATCGCTCATTACTATACATGATGTAGATCACATGTATAGGTGTTTTGAGAGTGGTGATAATCGCAAGAAACACTGCTTATGGCTTGTTAAGATATGGCGCAGTAAACCGCGATCGTGTTAATTTAATTAAGCTGTAAAACAATGTTTTTTGACAAAAATCGACCGATTAGCAATTCCCGTTCGGAAATTATACATGTATATCACAACTAATTCTGAGATTTTCATGGTCGCAGCTACCATTGTACGGCCATAGGCGCTCTTTGAAATTTATCAAAATTTACCGTGAGCACCGGTAAATTTGTATATTCAATTTTTCTGCTTATGATACATGCACAAGGGCATCCAAAGATATCAAAATTGTAAAGCATCACTATCCACCCAGTTTACATGATATGTCACGAGATGCAATTGGAACCAATATACAAAACACACATAAAAAACACTGAAAAACAAAGGTGCAATGCTATTACTACAAAGATATACCGGTACAAGAATTATATTTCATAATGCATAGTTTATAAATGAAGAAAAAGGAAGTTATTTTAATTGTTCGTTTTATAGAATAGCTTTTGATTTCAAACAGATGCCAACTATGGGAGAGGGGGGGGGGGGGGGTAATGACACCACATAATGGTATGGCAAGTACATTGCAATGTGCTTTTAATAAAAGAATAAATATTTCATACAGAAAATCACTACTTGTATTTATAAGAACGATTCATTGAAAAGCTTTATAGTAGATTAGAGGAAACTTATCTTCCTAAATATTAATGGTACGAGATCAAAGAATGCAGGAGCTGATGCCACAAAGAACCAGTTTTCCTTGTAAGCATAACCGATAACACTAGGATGAACGGATAGAAGACCTTGTGTTGTTAATGTTGCATATCCCTTTTCTATAGATGTTTGTCCTTACACCACTCTATTATTAAATACATTTCTCAATTGAAGTATACAATGTCTTTATAGGCGATGAACAATTTTCCACAATAGACATGTTGATCCAAGGTCAAACACTGTCGAAAACTTTTGTAAAAGCAGATCACAATTTCTGATACCGTACAGGGCCTGTTTAAAAATAAAATGTGTTTACATGCTGTAATACAATAGTTATTAATATGATTTCTTTTCTACAGTATAATTTCATTAAATTGTCATGCCTATGCAAAGATTAGGATACATATCCTTAATGCTTTTAAAAAAATAATTTAGATATTTTAAGAATACAATTAATTTCTTTTAAGATATAAATTGTCATACAGGTGTGTTTATTGCCTTGATCTTGTTCTTGGCGTTGAGTTCAGATTTTAGGATTAGTACATAGTAGTATCATTATTATTATATCTTATTTTATAGGTCCTAGCATGCCTGAAATTACTGTTCTTAACATGACGGAGTCCAGCATCGCATTAGGTCTCCAGCCTGGCAACGGCGTTCTAGATGAGTACATCATCACCATTCAATGCATGGATGCTACTCAAGACCACTGTGTTTGCGAAGAGGAACACAGAGTTCCAGGAAATGCAAAGACCTTCGTCATCGATGACCTTCGACCCAGTGTTGAGTACAGCATCAGTGTTGTAGCATGGGCTGGATCGGAACTAGCTGAAACCAGTGTAGAAGTTACTCTGGAAGTGACGACTCGTGAGTTTTATATTTTTTGGTCAAATTCATTCAGCAAGGTACATTTATATTTGTATATGTTTTATTTTTGATCTATTTTGGTCATTCCCAAAACTCAGACTATCATCAAGAATTATTTTAGCATTCATATATTTCATTCATAGCCTGAGCGGTAAAACACAAATAGAAATGTTTTTTCCTTTATTTTTTCTTGCAATGTATCTTGTATAATATATGAATTTTCACCACATGTTTCATTCAAAAATATGAAATCTCTTGATATTTGGTGATAGAATTAAGTGTAATAATAACATTGTATTACACTGAAGACTGAAGTATTTGCATCATGTGTTACATTGTATATCCTGTATTAAATGTAAAATATTAATATTATTAGGTTTATAGTATTAGTTTGCATTATTATCAATATTATTACTATTATTGTTATCAGTATTATAAATTATTAATATTATTATTAATTATCATTATTACTATTATATTCATTACTTTAAGTATTTGTTTACAATTATTTAAATTATTTTTGTAATTATTATCATTGCTATTATTATTAGTAGTATTATTACTCTTACGACTATTAATATTAAAGATAATAATAGAAGTAATTTTTCATTAGTACTATTACTATTATTATTATTATTATTATAATTACCATTATTATGATCATTATTTTGTTATCATTATTAATACTATTACATGTACTATAATATCGTTATGCAGTGGGGATTCCTGATAATCGCTTCACGGTTTTGGACCAGACACCAGATAGTGTCATCTTGGCCTGGACAGTGAGTGGGCCAGCCAATATCACCATGGAACGTTTGATGCCCAGTGGTTATGTCCTCAATGCCACATATGTGTACGACGGTTGCTTCAGCTCTAACGTGCTGGAGGTCAGTGGTCTGGAACCCGTCACAATTTATCGCTTCACCATGCCGGACGATGTTTCAATTCTCATCAGAACAGGTAAGCCATTATGTGAATCGGCAATTCCAGGGAAATTGCTCACTTGCTGAATATCATTAACTTACTGATGACTCCAGAAATAGTTGTGACAAATCTAGCATCAATCAAAAGAGCTCAAGAAGCTCTTTGTTTTGAATGGAACATATTAATAGGACTGAATAGCGTTAAGCCCAAATAGCTTCTAAAGCTTCACTCGCTACATTTATCACAATAATTTTTTTAAGCAAAAAAGGTCTTAACCTGAAATTTATTACTCTTTTCTTTTGAGTCTTGCGCATCTCTTGAAACAATTTTTTTGGAAAATCAGATGTATCGTTACAAAGTTACGTGACCTTTTTTTCTTTGCATGTTAGCCCAAAAATCCCTTTTTAAATAATTTTTTCCTGTTTTTTTTAATATTTTTTTTATACCAATTTTTTTTTTCTTCCAGATTTTACCCATATCTTCCCTTAATTTCCCTATTTTCCCCCAATTTTCTTATTCAAAAGGGGGGGGGGGGGGAATTTTGTTAGATGCTATTATTTTTTCCCAAAATCCTTTTTTTTTTATTCAAGGGGAAAACAAAACAAACTATAATTCAACTATTTTGACCCCTAAACAAGACCAAATTACCAACATTTGATATCTTTTTTTTTTGGAAAAATAATATTTCCATATGTTTTGTACAAAACATGAAAATGAGCGATTTTCGGGCTGACATGCAAAGACAAAATGTCACATTAATTTGTAACGGTAGGTCCAATTTTTAAAGATTTGTTTCTAAAGATACGCAAGACTCGAAAGAAAAGAGTGAAAAAATTTCAGTGCAAGATTTTTGGCATTAACAAATTATCGCAAAAAAATGTAGAGGGAATAGGGGGCAGCTCCTAGGCTATATAGGGTTCAGTTGATTACATTATGAAAATGGCCACGTATTTACATCTTGTATCTCTAACAAATTTATGTTCGTTCAGATCCTCCTTCAATTGAAAATTGTTCCGTGGAGACCACGTCTTCAGGCTACACTTTTACTTGGTCAGCCTTAGCCCCTGGCAGTAACGATGGCTACCAGGTGACCGTCACCGATTCACAAGGTGGCCTTGTGCAAGAAGAGGCAGTTCCTCCCACAGACAACCCAGAAGTGGTTAAGATCAGGGTCCCACCTGAAACCGAACTCACACTGGCAGTCAATTCATGGTTGGCAGCTGATGACACAAACAACTTTCCTCAGCAGTTTGGGGCTGTGCCCTGTAATCAAAATGCTGTCACTAGTGAGTATGGCTGGAGTACCTATGTCTGCCCATACAAGTAACTGTGATTCTGATAAAATGAAACATGCAACTAGCACAAAACATCTGTGTCTATGACAGCAATACAAATTCATTAACAAAAACAACTAAAAATATTGAGAAATATTAAAATTTAGTATTTTGTTATTCACAAGCCTTCAAATGCTACCTTTCACAAAAAAAATCCCAAACGTGTGTAATGTGAAACAGTACACAGACAACAGAACCTTTGTTTATGCGATTTCAAAATTCCACCACTGCATTTTGAGGTGAAAACTTCATTGTTCAAGATTATGTCCATGGTGTAAAAAGTTTTCTTGAATTTTGGTATTGAGAGTTACTAAAAAAATTATTTGGCCTTGACAACACATCAGTCTGCATTATCAAAAGACAAACAAATATTCCATCAAAAATGACATCAAATAAGCACTGGTACAGATACAATTATCTTGTGATGTAAATATTTACGTACAGGTATGACGGTTAATTGATAATTTTTCATCATCCATCTTTTCAGTCAATGTTTATGTTCATGTTACAATATGAACAATAACATTAAGAATAACACTATTAAGAGTAATAGTAATAATGATAACAATGATAATTATATCAATGATAATAATAGTAATGATAACAATAATAATAGTGATGAAAATTATAATAATAATTTCAATGATAATAGTAATAATAATTTCTAACTTAAGCTCTTGTTTAATCTTTCTATTAAATTCTAAGATAGAGCATGATACTCGTAAAAGTCCTTATGAGCTTTACATAGTAATGTAGAACATTAAGGATTGTATTCTAAGACATATTTGGAATTGCAAATCTAGAAATGTTTTTTAAATTGTAACATTATACAGATAAGTTGGATAGATAGACATTAAATACCAAAACAAGTACCGGTAATACAAAAAGTAACAAATTGCATTTAGTCGTACACGACTACAAGTTCTTGCATTTATACATCAGCAGGCTTAATCCTTTCCTTTAAAAAAAAATTGTCATCTTCCCATTGTTGTTCGCAATCTTTAATCAATCAGGATTTAACATTATTTGTATGTAACCAGAGAGTATGTAAGAATGAATTATTTTGTCAATTTCAGGCTGAGGATGGAGAATGAAATTTTGACAGTTATCCGATTCATGTAAGTCCTACATGTATGCGTTTTCATTTTGAATTTCTCCTTCTCACCGACAGAGTCCCTGGAAGCTGGGGAAGTATCTCCCACGAATGTAACTGTCAATGAGATCCCCTTCGTTGTGGGTAACGCCAGTGCCCTGGAAGGATTCGAGGCTTATGCCTTTGCGGTAGAGCCACCTGGCCCTGTGATCAGCTTCAACGCTGATAGTCTGACGGGAGTCTACAGCAATGTCATCCCTGGACAGCTATACACCATCACCTCCACCATCGAAGGCACGGACGTCACGTTCACCCTCACAGAAAGAGCAAGTAAGTCAGTAGTTCTAGGGCCCTGTTTCCTCCTAATAGGGACTGTAAGATTTACACGACGAGAGCGTGGACCGCCATGTGTGACATCCTTTTAAGGTAATGTGACGTCCTTTTAAGGCACTGCCGGGCACGGCCCAGTGCCTTAACACAATGTTACACACGGCAGTCCACGCTCTTGTCCCTACTAGTACAGCTACTACTACTACTACTACCACTACTACTACTACAACTACTGCTACTCCCACTACTACTATGACTACTACTACTTCTACTACTTCTACTACTACTATTGAAACTCGTACTACTGCTACTACTTCTACTACTTCTAGAACTATTATTTTGATTATACTAATTAATGATGATCATAATGATGCTACTACTATTATTCTTTACCTTACTCTTACTACTACTACTACTACTATTATTTGATATAACTACTGATCATAATAATAACAATAACATTAATAAACATACCAGTAGTACACCATGACACTCACCATAGAAGGCATGGATATCAACCTCTAGTGATTTTAGCGCCCTGTTTCATAATAATAATAACTGTGGGTGGTATTCTCGAAAGTGGACGAACCTTAGTCCATGGTTTAATCCACCGACTAAGTATGAACTGCCAACTGTCCATATGAATATATTTTTGAATGAATTGATATGTCTCTAAATTACCATGATAACATAATTATATCATAGTTATATTGTTGTTTATTAATTATGTTATTACATTTTATTTTAATTTCGTGACAGATTAAATTATTCAAAACATATTCATGGACATTTGGCATTCCATACTTAGTCAGTGGATTAAACCATGGACTAAAATTAGTCCACTTTCGAGAATACCACCCTGTATGTTTAATAACACTTGTACAAAACTGATTTGTGGTTGCTCCAAATTCTGATGGATCACCCTTCTGGTGAGAGTTCTACACTGGCTACCATTATTTCACAGAATACTATTCAAGATTCTGTTGATTGTCTATAAGGCGCTAATTGCTCAGGTTCTTAGTTGTAGTGTAGAATTGTTTAAAACTTAAGTCTCACAAATATACACACCCCCTGTGCAGCTCCCAAAATACTATATTCTTTTAATCACAGCTCAAAAAACACATCTTTTAATTTAAATTGTACATTGAGGTTTAAAGCACAACAGGGGATGCTCAAGGTGCCTACAAATTACTAATAGTATTATTATCCTGGCTTTAGCCCAACTGCCCTAAGCCCCTTATGGTATTAGACACTTTTGACACATTTAATTTTTTTTTTTGTACTGCAATTTTTAAAGAACTATTTCTGTTCAATGATGGATCTTTAATAACCAACAGCTGGATGCAATTTTTTTTCCTCTTTTACCAGCTGCTAAAATATAGACATAAAATGCTGTTTATGTCTTTTATGTGTACATATTTTCCCTGCAATAAAGTCAGGATCATACAGTGTGTAGCTATGTGTATGTGTCTTTCTGACACTTTTATAATGTTCTTTTTTGTACTTTAACAATTGCAGAACCGTTGCCCCCTGTCGATGGCAGCTCACCATCTGCTGGTGTCACGTCTGTCCGTCTCCAATGGGAAACACCAAGTGGCATCGTCACCTTCTACAGGGTGACAATAAACCCAACCCTTGACACGGATCAAAACTTCATTGAGGTTACGAACCTCCTGCCAGGCACGGACTACAATGTGTCTATTGTGGCTATCAGTGGCACTGGGCTATATCAGCAAATAAGCGATCCAATTGAGTTCCAGGTCATAACTGGTAAGAGAATGTCCTTCTTAAACCCTAATCAGACCGGGGGACATTATGCCCCCCCCCCTCTGCGATTTTTCTGATTGTTCAGGAACGTACAAGGATGACACCCCGCCACTTGGTGAATATTTTTGTTCGCGTCTTGCGCATCTTTAGAAACACATTTTTTTAAAATCAGACATACCATTACAAAGTCACATGACCTTTTGTCTTTGTATGTCAGCCCGAAAATTGTTAATTTTCATGATTTGTGTACAAAACATAAGGAAATATCATTTTTTCCAAAAAGAGATAAAAAATTGGTTATTTGGTCTTGTTTATAGTTTAGGTGTTTGTTTTGGGGGTCAAAAAATTGAATTATAGTTAAAAATGAAATAAAGCAACAAAAACACTAAAATTCATAACTTATGGTAACAGTGAAATACATAAGAAATTATCAAAATAATAAATAACATAAGGAATAACCTGGTTCTTCAAATTGTTGTGTTGGTATTATTATTCCAAATGATCCAAATGGTATATGTAGTGAACACGAATGTTTAAATATGTAGAATATATGATTTATGGGTAAAAATGTGAATTTGATGACCTTATTCGCATAATTTACCATTAATATGCAAATGAGTGAATTTTTCAAAAAAAATTGAAATTACCATAACATTCTATACATTTCACTAGACTTGCATTCAAATTTTTGCTGCGATCAGCCGTATCAAGGCCGAGATCTTAGGGAGGGGGCCATTTACAGTGTAAAAAAATTCCAGAAAATATCTTGTTACTGCGATAACTTCAATCTAGTATATATAATTATTTAAGGATAAACTTTTTAGATTTTGGGGTGATCATTGAATATACTTTGAACATGTAGGCAGTATCATACTGGAGACGAAGTAGCGTTTATCTTGTATAACTACATTTGATCCGTAGATAATTTGACGACCGGGGAGCTCGTCTTTGTAGATGTGACTTCTTCATCTATGACTGCCATTTGGTCGGACAGTGGTTCACCGCCGTATACGCCAATTATCATGTTAGGAACTGAGACAAACACACTTTCTACCCCGAGTCCTGATGGCAACATGCTCATCGTAACAGACGGTGTGAAGTCATCACAGATTTATGTTTTCACTATCTACGATTCCACTTTTGCATTTGTGGTGGCAAATAATTCTGTTCGAACAAGTAAGTACATGTTTATCCAAGCTTGCTCTTTCACTTTTCTATTATATTTGATGGTTATCATAATACTGATATATTTATTTTTAAGTTACGACATCAAATCCTTTCAATACATTGCTCGGCGTGCATAGAACAAACTCCCTGCACTTTAAGAAATACTACTTCACTTCACTTCTTAAAACAAAACACTGAATACAAACCTCTACAATTCTTCTTAATTTGTCATTAGATGAAAGGGACAGTGCATTGTAACTTTGGGTAAAGGTGTTACATAACGGTTGTTTATGATCTACAATATTTTATACATTATTGCATACATTACTTCAGGGTTTCCATAGTCATGGAAAATGAAAATTCTTTCCAGAAAGTTCTGGAAAGTCATGACAAATGAAAATAAAACAACCCGTGTGGGGGCTATGACAGTCTTGGCAATTTGATTCACTGTGTGTACATGTAGGCCATACAGTAATGATATGGAGCTGTAATATAACTTTCATTAGACCTGATATGACCAAAACTTTCATGAAATGTATGAAATAAGAATTTTTAACTCACTGACATTACTGATTATTATCATGCCTTTTTCGTTCTCTATATGTCTTTTCTTGCCACCGTTTTGCTGTTTAGAGCTACGTGAAATAGGATATTCTGTAAAGGCATATCCTATTGAATCACCAATGCTTCCATACGCATATCCGCTGCTTACGTTGTCTTTAATAGCTGTGCGCATTTGACTGAGAAGGCAACTGTTATGTCGTTGCGAAAGATGATTTTAATGAAATACAAAGCATGTACATATAGCAAATACTGCCTTTAAAATAATGTTTACATTTTTGCTTGCATATAATTCTTCTTTGTGACACACATTCACCTCCAAATTCAGAAACTCCAAATTCCTGTCTACAGATCATTTGCAAAATTCACAAATTTAATAAAAAGGATATTTGTTTTTGAAGTCCTTCACCAGTGCTCCATTAGAACCTGCTGTAAAGCAATTTTTTTTTGGCATGCATGAAATATTGGAAAGTTTTGCAGAGCGCTTAGATTTATTGAAAGTTTCATACCTCAAAGGGGCTTGGTAATTGAAGATCGCTGCCTTACCAGATGGAATAGTACTCTGATGATAGTGATGTCTAATCTCGTCTTGCTCTAGTGAAGCACTCTTAAAGATAAGTCACCAGGTGACCAACAGTTTAATACATCCTGTCAGAGGGACTTGGTATTTGGAAATTCCTGCCTAACCAAAAATTACATGATAGTGACGGTTCTTCTCATTTTTTTAAATTTACAGATCCTGAAACCCCACAGCCACCAATCCTGACCAGCGTAGGACCTTTCAGCCTGTCCTTTGAGTGGGCCCCTACCAACACAACCTTCTCATCCTACAGGATGTACTATGTCCCTTTCTCTTTCAGAAGAGAACTTATATCCACGATTCCGAATAACAGCTCGGACCTGACGTACAGCCAGGGGTGTCTGAGACCCAACACGGAGTATGTTTTCGAGGTAGAGACTGTTTTGGATGCAGCTGATGGGTTTGGTGAACAGACAAGCGATTCTGCACAGTCAATCTCGATCACAACAGGTAAGCCAGGGGTTGCATTTTTTCCTTGTGCAAGAATAAGTTAAGCCCACCGCACACTATGTTATCTTCGTGCAATTTAGATTTTCGTAGAGATGGCAATTATATTAGATATAGATATCTATTTTTAGCATATCAGGACCAAAAGGCTTACATGTACACTTGTATTCCTACATCTACTATCTGGGTTATTTTTTAAAGTTCAAATTCAAGTTAGTTTATTTATTTCATTTTCATAAAAAACACAGCAAGTGCAAATAAACATACAAGTATATATACATGTACATACAAGGAATGGTCAGTTAACACAATAGCTCAAATGAAATTGGAGAACAAAGGAAAAGCCCATGGTGGCTTTGTATAAAAAGTTCCCTGAATATTATAATTTATGTTATTTATATTGTTGAGCATTTATGAGTTAAAGATATCACAAAATACGGCGATAAACACAATATAAAGACAAAAAATGTATGAAATAATTTAAAATTGGAGGGGGGCATAAAGGTTTGGAAGGTAAATTTAACGATACTCAGAATAAAAGGTCAGTTTCATTTTTTTTTAAACATTGAACTGTTTTTATATAAGCGGAGGACTGGAGGTAGAGAGGTCTATAAATTAAGTCAGCATTTTCCCACTTACTGACTTTTGTGTGGTGATGACACTCCCTCTCTTCACTTCTTCTTGTCTCAATCGTCCTCCTCATTTAGACCAACCTTACTGCTTTATCTTCCTATCTCTCTTATGCAATCCACCTCCAGATTCCACACGTTCATCATCTTCCCTTCTCAACACATGACCCATCCATCTCAATTTACTTCTCATTACCACTTCCTCCACAGTTTCTCAGTTTTTAAACCATTAATTTGCATATGTCTATGTTGTACAGTGTATGTAACCCTATGGACGTCATGTTTCTATTAACTACATGTATATATTGACAATAAAACTTACTTCTTGAATTTGGATCTTGAATGCTAAACCTTCCAACAGGTCAATACGACAACAACGAACCCCACGTCTCCAGCACCAACAACACCAACCTTCAGGTCATCTGGCTGGATGCTGCCACCAACGGTCAACAAGTGTGTCTGAAGGAACTCTGCAGCACCCTACGAGGTGACACGCCCATGTGTCTCCCAACCAACCAGACGTGCCCGCTGTTCTACACCTTCGAGGGGCTGGTACCCGGCAGGAGATATGTGGTCTACGTAGAATACAACGACGGGACAATGGAGGATGTCATTTTCACGCAAACAAGTAAAGCTTTGTTCAGATATGACCTTCAATACTGTAGTAACACAGAGCTCAGTGAATATGCGCAGGATCTTTGTTGCGCTCAGTTGCCATTCATTTACATGCAAAAAAGACCCTGGCATTGTTTTTATGCGGCAGTTTACCATGCTAAAAATTCCTAATTCTTATTTTCAAATGTTAGCAGCTATGGGAAAAGTTGATTATGTTGTATATAAGAATTGGTGTATACTAACTATGGGGCTTTGGAATTAGCAAAATGATATGAAATTGATTCATATTTGCTGAAATTCATATACACTCAACATTGGAATGTGTGGGACTACACAAACATGTGGCGTGAAAGATGAGTCAAATCACTTCTGAATCAGCTATATCTTGTTATATTTTCAGGAGACATTTTTTCTATGTTATTCTTCCACACTTACGTAAAAAGAATCAAAGCTCACATTTGCATGTACAATATTCTCTGTACAATTTGGTGGTCTTGGGGTTCATGTCCATAACGGGTAAAGAGTAAATTGCAGGTTTTTGGTATTATGACAAGAGAAATTAGCATTAAATGTGGGTTGATAATCATTTTTGATATGTTATTACTTCCCAGAACCGAACCCTCCAGAGTCCCTCAACGCTACTGCTCTTGGTTCCGATGAGATTAGAGTCCTCCTCTCCCCACCCCAGGGAGAGTTTGACGGTTACGAGCTCTCCTTCTCTCCTAATTCCGCCGGCGGTCCCATCTTGCTTGAACCAGACACGCGGGAGCATCTCCTGTACAATCTCCAAAGTTATACTACTTACAACATCCAGGTGTTTGCTTATAGTGGAAGCAGTGGACAACGGCTAGAGGGTGATGCGATCTCAACAACAGCCACCACTGGTGAGAATAAAATTCAGACCTGTGTTTGAAATTTAACTCTTTGATATTGATCAATCACAAAAAAACACAGATATTTATATGTATATCATCAGGATACATCAAGCTATTCCCTAATAAATGTGCATGTACATGTATTAGGTATTTGAAAACAGGGCGTATAATAGATTTCCCCCCCCCTTTTTCATCATAGCTTAAAAGTATGATGATAAAGCTTTAAAATATAATGATATAGATATTTTGTCATATCCAACGATAAACAGAAACAGATTAACAAAACTGGTACTGGTGGTCATCTTATATTCTGAGTACCGTAGCACAGTACTAATCAGGCATAAGGTCAGGTTTGCAATAAAAGATGTGGTCCATTCGATAAGTCTCTGCACCACAAGGTACACGGTTCAAATCCCTCTCGCGGCACCAAAGATGTCCTGTGGCAAGTCTTTCATTTACATTTGCCACACTCCACACATGTGAGGTGAATGAATACCTGTAAGGAATTAATTCCCAAGAATGCTCGAGTGCTGTAATGGCAGCCGTGCTAAAGCGAGGGTCATAACAACGGAGCGCCAGGTGTGGCAATGTGCCCGACATGGGCTCTTATATAAGACTCCTCTGTTAATGTTATTTGGGTGAAATGGTACAATATACAGGGTACTCTAATACGTATCATCCATTGATCTCACCGTATATTTTCTAGATGAGGAAATTCTTGTTGCTACAAACATTGAGACCAATCAGATCTTCGTTTTGTGGTCAACGGAAACAGAGATGCTCGATGTCGACTCCTTCCAGATGTTCAGACTCTTGTACTTCTCGATGGTGTCTGATTCAATCCCCATCCCCAAAAACGCCATGTCTACCAGCATTGATTACGGCCATTCAGTCACAGACCTAGTACCAGGAGATCTTGTCACGTTCAACCTTGAGACTGTCACGTTAAGTGGCCAGGCTACTTTAGTAGACACTATCATCCGCCGAACAAGTGAGTTTAACACAAAAAACACACACACCAAAATACAGATCTTTTTGATAAGTCTTTGAAATTATTTTGAACAAAAACTATCACATTTTTGTGTGTTTATGAAAGAAATATACTTCCATTGTATTGGTCGATACATAAAATAACATTGTGTCCTAAATCTTACTTGGGCAAAGCCACAAACAAATCAGGTTCATGGGGGAAAATGAGAAATGTAGGATATTAAAATCTTATGTCACAATTTATAAAATAGGGAGCCTATGACATCCCAGCCTCATCACAGTGTTGCCAATTTGTCTCCATAAATAGTGATCTTTATATTGTTGTCCGATTTTCCTCAAACTCAATTTTATCAGAGTCTCTGTTTTTTTTTCTTCTTCTAAAGCAATTTATTTGCTGATGACTGTTTTCCTTGAATATTTTTTCTACCATCAAAATTGAATTCATGATGTTTATTATTATCTGAGGGGTACACAATTTACAAGCTCTGCTTTTCAGTGGACCTCTCCATTTCCTCAAAATATAAATGCAGTTAAATTAAAAAAATTCAATATTTGTCTTCCTCAAATGTATAGATTTCTATTAAGATTTATTTTTTTTCAAATGTAACTATGTTTTGTATGCATTTTACTTTGAATTCGTTATTATGTATTGTATTTTGTTGGAAGAGAAAAAATCAAAATGAAATGAAAAAATTGACTCCCAACTGCTGGCATCTTATCTGATGAAATACATGTATTCTCATCATGTACAGAGCCTGAAATGGTGTCTTTTTTCGAAGGACAGACCGATTCATCAACGAGCATCCGGCTGCTGTGGAGGGCGCCATCTGTTGGCCTGTACCGGGGATATCTCGTATCGTACTCGCCAGCCAACGGAGACCAGAGCTCGCCCATAGAATTAGGGCCGGATGAAGAAGAATTGACCATCACTGGACTTCAGTTTAACCAGATTTATAATGTCAGTATTAGGTCGATCATGGGGCAAGAAGGCACCTACGTTGAGAGTGACCCAGCATCTGACATGGTTATAACAGGTACATGTTCTGTACATTTAGCTCTTTTTTTAATTAACAGTGAAGCCTCATTCAGATAAGATGCAGTAAACTGCCAAAAAGAAGCCCGTAACCTGTACATTTTTTTTAATAGACTTCCCATCAAGTCTAAAAATTTGTTGAATATTCCAATGATTTTGTAGTCCCAATTTGCCATTATGTGGAGGGCAATGAGCAGAATTCCAGCTAGGAAACAGAAAAAACAGTACTTAGATGAATTTCAAACTTGTTCTCTCCAAAACAGAGCACCTCTAAATAACAACTTTAAAAAACAAGTCCTCTCTAAGCTTCGCTTTTTGGCAAACCTCTCTGCTACTAAGGTTTTAGTAACAGTGACGGATATGATGCAGTAAAACCGCCAAAAACAAGCCCCCCAAGATTTGTTTTCTTCTTGTAAATGCATGGCAAATGTGTAACGAAGGTCCTACTGGTTACCTCTGCTACTGGTATGTGTTATAAAATATGGAAATGTGAAGCATAATATACTTTAAATAAACAAAAATTCCACTGCGTTATACTACTACATGTATCTTGAATACACATAGCACTATGGTTGCCGTAGCCAAAGCCAGGGTAATAATATCCAATGTCCTTTGGAAGTGCATAGAGAAGTTATATCATAATGTGATATGCTGATTACAAGAACAGTATTTTATTATTATTATAAAGATTTAAACCTGATTCATGATGTACTTTATTCATGTACATACAGCTAAATTACTAAATTATTTATACCTGTTGTAAATTTGATATTTTTTTCGTTTTTGGTATCTCAAGAATGAAAGGTGAACTGGTTGAATTAGGGCCTTTTTTGAATACTTTTAGATGTAAGCATTGATATC